GTGGGGTTTCTTATTCTGGGTTCTCTCTCTCTATCTATATATATATATATACACTAATATATATAGCTCCTATCAGAAAGATGCAGTAGGTCTTTTGGGTCCAAGGTAGTGCGTAGCGCGGGCTCAATAAAGCCGATCCTATTGCTGACATTTAGGGTCTCACGTTGGGGCGACACGGAAGTTGGGCCTGCTGTAGCTCGGTGATCCCGGGCCCGAAGTACCTCGCAGCAGTAGATGGTTTGGGCTTCGGGGTCCTGACCTCTGAATGCTTTGTAAACCGTAAACCCTAAACGCAAACCCTAAACCGGAAACCCTACACCCTAAACCCTACTTGGGCCATGAGTGAAGTCAAGTCAAGCGCCTTTCCTCAAAAGCCTCTTGGGAGGGAGGATTCACCAAGCAACTGGTCAGAAATCGCTGTTGACAAGCTGAAATTAACTCTTCTTCAAGGCGCTTCGTATTCGGGTTTAGGGTGTAATATAGGGGCCTTAATAATTAGAACAGGGTTTTGGGGCGCTTTTGTTGTAGTTATAATAAGGCCCCCACAGTAGTATTGGTAATTAGTTAGGTCCCTACAATAGCAATTTAAGGGTTCGCGGCTGTTTCGTGATGCATGACTCAGCCCCATGGGCGGAAATGTAGATTGGGAGGAGAACAATTGTCCTGATGGCTCGGCTACAGATAGAAGCAGAAACTGCTGCAAAACAGCTCTCTCTACTGCAGACCCCAAAGCGTCTGGGTAATTATTCAGGCCCTTTTTATGACTCGTGTCATGTAACTGGGCACGCAGATGTCTTCGTGGTTTTCTTATATTGGCTGCTTCAGGTTCTTCATGCGCCTCTATTTTAAGGTGCGCATTTTGCGGACATACATGCCGTACGTCTTGGGCGAAGCCCGGATATGTCGCCGAGGTACAGCGCGGAATGAAAGCCGATAAGGGGTCTGAGAAACTACGGTACGGATTGTTTAGAGGTTTAACGTACAACATGGGGTTGCAGCGGTCAGCTGTTGCAAAACGCCTGTGCCGTGAATCACAGCTTGATTCCAGCGCCACTCCAGCGCGCAGTAGCCTGTCATTTGTGAGTCTGGAGTTGAGTCTTGCCTAGGGTACTTGGAAGGGCAGGGGACTTAGTAAGTAGGTTATAAGAGTTATAAGTTATAAGTACCCTAAATGGAGTTACCCCAATTAGAACCCTACTTATAGCCTACTTACCAAGTCCCCCGCCCCTCCAAGTAAGTGGGTATAGGGTTTACAGTCGAGAGATCCGAGAGAAAGCCGAGAACAAACCATTCCACTCAATGTTGCGGTCGCAAGTTGCAAGCAAAGCCTTCAAGAGATGCGGCTGGCGCTTACTATAGGGGCCTGAATAATTACCAATACAATTTTGGGGGCTCCTTATTATAATTGCAACATAATATACCCGCAAACCCTATTCTTGTGGTAAAACTTCGGGCTTGAGGGTTTGGGGCTTGGAGTCTGGGGTTTGAGACTAGGCATTGAGAGTATGGCACTTATTTGGAGGTTTGGAGGGGGACATGTGGAGTATGCCACAAGTAACATAAAGACCTTACCGATCAGAGCAATGGAGGTTTACAACTATCATTGGCGAATAACCAGTATAGGGTGGTAAGTGGGGAAAACACTATATAGTATAGGTGGACTCATCTGTGATTCCCACCCCATAAGAGGCATGGTTTGGGCTTTCGACTAAGATTTCCTGCTTGAGACTGTAAGTTGGGAAGCTTTTGCATCCAAGATGCTGTTATAGAGAAAGCTTAGGAATCAAGGCCATGGGCCCAGACTGCAGTGACCGGCGCCCTACATCTACGATGCTGCAATACAGACTTCGGGCCGATCGATAAAACTTGGGAGCTCGTCGACCCCTGCGGCATTCCAATCATCATGCGGTGCATGGTTTCGGGTTTGGAGATATGTGAGTTCCCGACAATAGGGGACCCAAATCTAAGACCCTAAATAGTAGGAGCCTTACTATAAGGGCCCCCAAATGAGGTACCCCTTGTTTTCGGAAACCCCCATATGGGATCCGAACCCCAACCGGGTTGAAGTGGAGGAGGGGCTCCCTTGTTCGTAAAGTGCTGGTAAGAAGGGTCCTTTTACTTCAGCTAGGATACCCAGTAACCTAAGAATGAAAAGGCCTCTCTTTTTGGTATTGGGTAACTTTATAAGGAACCTAGGACTACAAAAAGGGAATAAGGGTACTACTGGGCATCCTAGTCCTAGTCAGTGAAGGATCTGGACGGGGGGAACCCCCACGTGACATCAAAGTGGAGAGACTATACCTAAATCCCACACCATGAAACCCCGAATCTTGAAGCCTCCAGTTCAACCAACGGCAACCATAAGCCTCGGTTTTTGGCTTCGGGTTGAGGCCTCATGCAGTACGGGCCTTGGGTCCCAAACTCGCAGCACATGGCTCGATTGAGACAACCCCCCAAACCCCAAACCCGAACCCCAAACACTAAACCATAAATCCTAAATCAACCAGAAAGCATGAACCCCCTAAACCCTAAACCCCGAACCCTAAATCCGAAATCAACTAGACAGAACGAAAAGGGTAGCCGGTCCTCCGCTGCAATGTGGTCTCCAACTGTCGTGCATGCGCAGTGTTTTCCTGAAGTGGATGTCTCCCTAAGGCTCCACGTGCCCATATCGTAGGTACTTAGGCCTTAAAGTACCTATATAGGCCCTTAAGGCTACTATATGGGCACATGGAGCCTTAGGGCCTCACAGTATAACGTTCATTTTGGGTTTAGGGAAGTGGAAGCGGCCCCCACAGGTATCATCTAGATTGAACCTACATACTTTGAGTCTTAGGGGATGTCGAAGATGCCAGATTTATACTTGGTGATGAGCGGTATAGGTAGGGATTAGATCTAGGGTTTATGTCGCGGGGGTTTAGGGGTGAGGGTTTCCGTGGGGCTGCATAATGGCAACTCTCGCATCTCGTAACTTCGGTTGACCCTAATAAGTTGCAATCGTATCCCCTTGCAGTCAGACTCTACTGTACTATACTGTAGCATACCCCAAAACCCTAAACCACAACACACTCTATTCTCAAGGCCTCTAACTTATTGGGAACCAGCAGTTCGAGCGATATCCATGTCCAAGGTCAGCTGAAGCGGCCGTTGCGCGAACCTTTGCTGGGAAGTTCAGTTAAGGAAGTTTAGGGATTATGGGAACCCTAAACCCTAAACCCCTAAACCCTAAACCCCTAAACCCCTAAACCCCTAAACCCTAAACCCTAAACCCTAAACCCCTAAACCCTAAACACCTAAGAAGTTTCGGGTTTAGGAGTTGAAGCTCAGGGTTCCAATGCTAGGGTTCAGGGATCTTGGGCAGGAGGGATTCGGGCCTTTGAGGGTTGGAGATTTCGGGCTTCAGCGCTTTCGGTCTTTGAGGCTTTTGTGGTGGAAGGTCTAGGGTTCTAGGGCTTTTGGGTGAAGCTTGATGAGATGATGGTTGGTGGGATGCAGGGGTTTAGGGTCAATGCAAATTTGGGGACATGAAAACGTTGCCTTCTGCAAGCATGAAGGATTCAGGTATGTATACAAGATAGAGCCTGAGAGAAGAGTGGTCTGCTAACCATACAACGCGAAGCTCTTCCCAATGTGGCAGTTCTGCGGATCCACAGTCTGGGAAGCACCTGCTATATCAAATAAAGCCAGCAGGTGCATCCCAAAGCCCTTGAAGCCTAAACCCATAGACTCATAAATACATAACCCTGAATTACAGGCCTGAACACGAAGCCCTATCATCGCTACGCCTTCAGCCCCTAAGCATCCAAACCTTAAAGCCCTAAACCCCCAAAGCCGTAATCAACCCTAAATCCTAAAACTACTGAACCCTACAAACCCTAAACCCAAGGCCCCAGCACTCTTAAACCCTTAACCGAAACCCCTTCGACCCCGAAATAAACCGACACTCCTCACAGAAGCTCATGTGGAAACCTTCAAATACAGAAACCCTTCAAGACCCGTTTCGATACCCCTACTGAATCCTCTGAACCCTAAACCCGGAACCCCATAAAATCTTACAGCGATATAAGCCCTAAACCCAATTGAACTTGCAGCCCAAAGGCGAGTACTCCATGAAGTGAGGCACCAAACTTCCGGCGGTGCGTGCGGAGCCGCTCGAAGAGGTGGTCGGACTGTCCTAACATAGGGTTCGCGTTGATAGCCAGCATTTGGTGCTTTTGGGCTTCATCCTCCCAAGAGGGTGTTGTGTAAAGTGTCGTGGAAATTTCTGGGACCAAACCGAAGTGTATTTAAGACTTGCTTAGACCTCAATCTTAGGACTGCAGCTCCGCTGCCGGAAGGTCTTCCTGAAACCCTTCACCTACAACTGCTCTAGCCTATAAACCCTATAATGAACGCTGATATCCTGAACCGTTGCACGCCTTGCTATGATAACTCTTGAGCTTCGGCGACTGTACAAAGTCTGCACTAGCCCAAGATCCACAAACACGACCATATTGATATTGACAACCTGCAGCTGAAGCGGATCCTACAACGCTTGTTTAACGAAATGCTGATGGCATGAAACACATAGGTGCGCACCGTTGCGATTTGTTGAACCCTGTTCCCTCAGTTGAATTTGAAGAGGGAACTCGGTATTAAGGCTCTTACGGAAACGGGATCCATTAATCAGGGCTCTGCACGAATCGTTAATTGGGGCTGGCTTTATGGCCCATGAGACTAAACACAGACTGAAAAATTATTTCATACATATGTGACAAATACAGACATAGATACATACATGCATGCATACATAAGAACATACATGCATACACACATGCGTAGGCAGATAACTGAAGATCTGTTTGGTATGCATACGGCCACAATGAACTATGAAATAGTAGACCCTAAACCCCAAACTCTAAACCCTAAGCCCTAAACCCTGAAACCCCAAAACCCCAAAACCCTAAAACCCCAAAAACCCAAACCCCAGGCCCTAAACCCCTCGTCTCAATCCCAGCGTCCTATGTAGACACGGCCGCCTTGAAGAAGGAGCCTCCAGGCGGCGCTAGGATACTTAAATCAAAGGGGAAAAGGAGGGACCCCTAATGGGGACCCCTACCCTATAATGGGCTATATAATGGGTATATAATGGCGATATTCAGGGTATATACCTAGGGGTCCTTATTAAGGGTCCCTCCTTTTACCCTTGGATTAAGTTCCTTAAAGGGATCCTGGGGGATTTGGGGTTCTCCTTAACAGGATCCTCAAAGGGTTTCTTTAAGGGATCTATAAGGGGTGGCGGCTAGGACACTTAAAGGACCCTGGGACTTAGTAACTAGGGTTCCTAGGGTTCCTTTGAAAGGGCTACTGTAAGGGATACCATAAGGGATACTATAAGGGTCCTAGAATATACTTAAAGGATCATGGGACTTAGTAACTAGGGTTATAATTAGGGTAACTAGACTTATAACTACTTATAAGCGCAATTAAGGTACTTATAGCCTTACTTACTAAGTCCCATGATCCTCCAAGTAGGGTTTAGGGTTTCAGGATTGTAGGGTTCAGGGTTATAAGGTTTAGGATTCTAGGGTTTACCACACTAGAAATACTGTCGTTGCGGGTTGAAGCTACAGCAAAACTGAGAAACTATTCCCGACTCTTAAGCCTCGTAGGAGCGAGACCCTGCACCCCTTACTCAGAGATTCTGCCTAAAACTACACGGGGTTTGTTATACAAGAATGAAGGGGTAGTGGGCTGTCTGCGTTGGTGATGACGGTCAGCAGGGGGATTATTATTTTGCGGCTGTTGCTGACGCTGGTGTAGAAGATTCTGACAATGAGAAGCCATGAATACCACGACTACTACGGTGATGTTGATGACAACGATCACTATGAATAATTCCTGCGATGGTAATGACAAATGACATCCAACCCCGTCGTTCAGAATGCTGTTCATATTGCGCGTGTCGTCTTTACCATCGCCGTCGCTGCTGCTGTCCCTGAACCCCAAACCCTAACTCTGTTGAACCACCGCATGGTCCCGAAAGTTGACCTAAAGTCCGAAACTAAAGCCTAACCCTGCAATCCCAATGGAGATCCCTCTCAGAACTCTTGTAGAAAGCCTATGGAGGACCCCGTTGTAGGACTCTCAACAGCCCTAACAAATCCTGAATCCCAAAAAGCCCGAAACTAAAACACGACACAAAGCCTGAAAGCCCCCCGCAAAGAGCGCCAAAACCCAAACCCCTCCTGAAGCCGCTCAAAAACATCAAGCCCTAAATCCACCCTGAGCACCTAAAACCCTGAAGCCTTTGAGAAGAACCAATGAAGGAACCCGTAAAGCCCCTTAAAGGAACCCTGAAAGCCCTGAAGAGGAGCCGAGCTGCGCGTAGAGCGCTGCCTTCCCTGCGCTGAGCTTTGCTGGGGGCGCATCCGTGGGGCCCAGACGCAGCGGAGGCTCGGAGTCCTGTTGGGGCTTGGGGTAGGGTGTAAGGTGTAGGGTTTACCATTTAGGGTTCAGAGCCAAATGTGGTACCTTTTTGTGGCGACTTGCTTTTATTATGGTTAGCATCCATCTTATGAAACTAAGGTATCCAAAAAATCACTGCATTTCAGGGTCTTGGTAAGGGTTTAGGGCATTTCGATGCTCTTTGGCTTTGGGGGATTATTCTGGAGTGTTTAGGGTGTTTGGACTTTAGGGTTTTAAGGCAATACTTCAACTTACGTGGTGGTACAAAACCTTGTTTTGGGGAAGGGAGGGGTTCAGGTTTCGTGATGCTGATACAAGTCTGCTAAGATGTGGATGCAATTTATTTGGCTGCTTCAAACATTAGGGATCGTAGAACATAAACATCCTTCATTTGGTCTCTTAGGGAGAGGCCACCGGAAAAAATGAGAACATGTGTATCCCACGGTTGGGGTGTACTGCTGAGCCCTACACTCCTACTTTGCGGTTCAGCTGTTGCGGTTCAGGCCTCTGTTTGAATTCGGGGTTTCTCCCATACCATGTAATTCTTTTCTGCCCTAACCGTGGTTAGGAGGTTCTACCTCAGAAACAGGCAACCAAAAACAAATTACCTTGGAGGGTATAGGCGGACATAGGCGGACCGAAAGATAATACATTCTTCGGCCCAAAAACTTCCATCCCAACTCCCCTCAAACCCTAGACCACATGTTAGACCCTCTTACCCTTAAGCCTGAAGCCATAAGGCTCTGCACCCTACTGTACGAACCCCTGCATAAACCTCGCCTAAGCCCTGGCAATCCTGCAGCCCCAAGTCTGGGGACCCGGGCATCCAAAGCAGCCATCATGCTGGAAATCTCTGTTGAAAGCTCCGTGGGCAAGGCCACTGCCTCCTCTCCTCTAGGTGGGGCTTTTAAAGCTTTTGAAAAATGTTAGTAAATAAGATCCTCTTAAGCCCAAAAAGGGTAAAATAAAATGTCACAAAGCCCTACCTAGTCCTTCAGAAGGCTGCAGGCCAGAGGCCTGCTGCGGATCCTGCAGACAGTCTTGGCTTTTAGGGTTTTCCCCGTGGGCTCTAGGCTTTCAGGGTCGGGCTCCAACGCGCGGCTTGTGGATTGGAGATAACGATAAAAAGGGTTGGTGAAACTCTAAGGTGTCAAATTTAGTGATGGAACTTCAAAGTTTGGGCTCTATGTAGAGCTTAGATTCTAGAGGCTAGATTGCTACATTAGAGAGCCTTCAGCCGGTTTAGGCTGCACGAGAGGTAGGATTTAGAATGAGGGTGCGGTGAGTGTAGACTGTGCTCTTGAAGTATCTTGGTGTGCAACAGCATGCATCCACAACCTAGAAGCCCAAATGCCCCGACACAGAGTACGCACTATATCAGACTCGAAGCAGTGGACCACATGAACCATAAAACTCCAAGGTCCCGCACCTCCAACCCTCAATCCCTAAACCCTGGAGTTTAAGCCTCAACCCTTCAACTCCTAAAACTTACCTCTCTACATCTTATACCCTACATGATCCTGAAGACTCAAGTTATTACTAAACTAAAAGTGCAGTGGTGCCTTCGATGTGGGTTCCATGTATCGGCCCATGTGTCGGTAGAATCGGCCAAGGGCTTCCTGCAAGGCTACGGCCCTCTTTACAGAGGGGTTTGGGGTTTTGGCATTTAGGGGTTTAGGGTTTCCCAGACCGCCGGAAGGATCTAGAAAGTCGATCCCTTTCTTTGGGGCCCAAATACTACTAAGGGTACTTTATAGGAACCCCCATTAAGGGATCTACTTTTTGGATCCTCCCGGGGGTCTGGGTTTAGGGCTTTTTTAACCCAGTTCCGGAGACCGGGGAATGTGCGGTTCTCTGTTTGAGATGTTAGGTGTTCGGGGTAGAGGCTTCGAGTTCCGGGCCTTAGGGTTCAGGAGTTTAAGGCTTTGCGGCTTGGAGGTTCTTGTATCCAAGGGTAAAAGGAGGGACCCTTAATAAGGACCCCTAGGTATATACCCTTAACATAGCTATCATATACCATTATAGGGTCCCAGGGGTCTCATTAAGGGTCCCTGCTTTTCCCCTTTGCTTGTAGTTTAGAGGTATAGGAGTTCATACCCAGAATTTGGGATCCTTGTGCTTGGGGGGCTGCGAGCTGTTCCTATGCCATGCCGAAACCCTTACAACGGTTGATGATATAAATCTTGCATTACCCATAATAAGGAATATACCATAATTCCCATAGTTTAGGGTCCTTAAGGTAATGCAGGATTTATATCATCAACCGAAACACTCATACCTTAAACCCTCGAGCAAACGGACCCTGAACCCTCCGCCCCCCCACTTATACGACCCTAAACCTTAAACTCACAACTAACCTCAAACTCCTAAACCCTAAACCTCAAACCCAAGACCCTCAGCCTTAAGGGGACTAGAATATGTCGGTGCTAACGGGGTTCCCTTCCCCGACAATTCCCAAAACGGGCCTCTTCCCAGCCAAAGTGACGGAGAGTCTCCCCGGCAAAGGAGTCGCGACAAACACCCTCCTCCAGCTTGTAGGTCCACTGCAACCTCGTTTAGGGTTTAAGGGTTCAGGGTTTTGGGGTTTCAGGGTTGAGGGCTTGGGGTCTTTTGAGCTTAGGGTTGAGGGTCTACGGTTTATATGGGTTTCTATAATAACAATAATAATAGTGGTAATAATAATAATAATAATAACAATAATAATAATAATAGTAATAATACTAATAATAATAATAACAATAATAATAATAGTAATAATAATAATAATAATAATAACAATAATAATAATAATAGTAGTAGTAGTAGGGCACTTCCCTGTCCGGCAGGGTTTCATACGGGTGCGAAATTATAAGGGACTTGCAGGGTTCAGCGCTTAGGGTTTAGGGTTTAGGGTTTAGGGTTAAGGTTAAGACTTCGGCTTTGGGTGGAGATGCTTCGAGCGTCTGAGTCTGAAAGTCTGTCCGTCAGTATCCGGTGCCCAATAACTTCTGTTGAGACTATTCTAAACAAACTTTGCAAATGCTAGGAACACCAGCAACCTGGGAAGAACACGGGCTCCCTCTTGGTATTGGGAAGCTTGAGAAGGAAGCTAAGGCCAAAAAACGATAAAGGTCCACGGGGAGACTTGTAGAATACAGAAGGCCAGCTCAAATTTCTTGTTGTGGAAGAGTCTACGGGTTCGGGTTTAGGGTCCAGGGTTTTAGGGCTAAGGGTGCGCCAGGCAAAAGTTGGACCCCAAACACTCAGCCCCAAATAAACCGAAACCCTAAACCCTTAATTCCAAACCCGAAACCCCAAGCCGTAGTAGCTGCAACCCCCACATTCTGAACCCTTGTATATGCACCCTAAATTCAACCCTAATCCCAAAACCCAAAATGCTAAATCCTCACCCCCCCCCCCACATCTCAAACTCTAAACCCGAAATCCTGAACAACGATCCTAAACCCAAAGCCCCCCACCCGGTAGGCCCCAAAGTAGTTCCTCTTTGGGATTACCTTATAGGATTCTATATACGAACCCCAAAAAGGAACTACTTTGGGGCCTTAGGCTCAGCCCAGCTGCGCACCATCCGCCGTCTGCCGGACGCCCATCCGCCAAGAAGCCGGTCGCAGCTTCCGGTCTGGTAAACCTACTTGGAGGGTTCTTTAGGGTTTAGGGTTTAGGGCTTTTTAGGGTTAGGGCTTAGGGTTTAGGGCTTTTTAGAGTTAGGGCTTAGGATTTAGGGGTTTAGGGTTTAGGGCTTTTTAGGGTTAGGGCTTAGGGTTTAGGGGTTTAGGGTTTAGGGTTGGTTATTGTACTTGGAGGGGCAGGGGACTTAGTAATGTCTCTCAAAGGGCTCCTTAAAGGGATCTATAGGGTTCCTTAAAGGGGTCTATGGGGTTTAGGGTTTAGGGTCTACTTGGAAGGGCAGGGGGACTTAGTAAGTAGTTTATAAGTAGAGTTATAAGTACCCTAAATGGAGTTTCCCCAATTATAACCCTACTTATAACCTACTTACTAAGTCCCCTGCCCCTCCAAGTAGGACCAACAACGGGGTGGGTAGCAAAGCATGCCCTTGTTATTCCCTCATGAGACCTGCAGAAAAAGCGCATTACTTGAAGCGTTAAAGCCTTAGGGGACTTAGCATGCAGGCCTTTTCGTTGATTCCAGGTATCTCATAAGTTAGGTGGAATTAGTATTAATACCACGTTCTAGTTATCCGAAGTAGAGCTACCCTACGTCCTACAAATACCTCTAGGCAAGTCGTCTATTTGCAGAACCTACTTGTACTGCACAACCACCTGAGTCCTCAAGTACAGGGAGAACAGTGCAAGTCTGAAAGCGGCCTGGGACCAACACAGCGTCGTGGTTCCAACGGGTACTCAGGAACTACACTTAAACCCTATTATAGGGGCCTTAATAATAAGAATAGGCCTTGAGGGGTATATTAGTCTATAATTAGAAGAACGAACAGAACAGTGTTGGTAATTATTTAGGCCACTTAAACCCTATCTGCTTGCCACCGGCTCACTGAAGTCCTCGTCTGCGATTTCGTGCAGGTGCGTCGCCACCACAAACCTGACAGAACCCCAATGGTGGTTTGGCCTGTGCTTCAGGCTCAGGGTTTGGAGTGTAGGGTTGTTGTGTGCTTCATTTGGCTTTCGGTAACTAGTACCCATAAGCCCTATAATCCTACGGTTCCAAGTATCAAACTTGAAGCCCGACTTTGGAGTACTTGGGCCACCTGGGTAAAGTTAGGGGTAACCAGCAGCCCCATTTCACCTGATGGACAAAGCATTCTGTGCTTCACCTAAGGAGCCAAACGCTTATCCCCTGTTGAGAGGTTCTAGCCAGATACCACTGAATTAGGGAACATATCACAATACCTAAACCCTGAACCGTCAACAACAAAGTGGTATGAGGATCGAGTTAGGTACTGCCCCCATACAGTAAGAGTCTATAATAGGGCTACTATTAAGGTCCTAATATATATATATATATATATATATATATATATTGTGAATATTATTCAGCTATTACTGAGTGGGGGCCGTACCCAAATTCTGAGTTAACAAATATGATGAAATGAGCAGAGGTGCTGTCAGACCTGCGTCCCCTCTATTGCGTGATCTTTGGGGCAAGTTGAGGGAAAACTATTTAGGGAACGGAAGGGGGTTACTATTAATTGATTACAAAGTACCTAAACCCTGGTCCTTAAACCTGCATTACCTTAAGGACCCAATACTATGAGAATTATGGTATATTCCTTATTATGGGTAATGCAGGATTTATATCATCACCCTAAACCCTAAACCCTATAGACACCTTTAAAGGTACCCTTATAGATCCCTTTAGAGGAACCCTTAGGATTTATATCAAACCGTATCATTGCTAACTACTCCGACACAGGCCATCTTGAGACCTTGCTCTCGTGTCCTCCGAGACTCAGAAGTTATGAAATTTCTAGTTCATTGTTGGGATAGGGTTAAAAATGTACGTTTTGATTCCTTATTGGGTTTAAGTACCCACAAACATGTAAAATGTTACCCAACAATGACAAGGTTGTGTGAAAAGAACGTTTTCTGGCCTCCTAGCGACACAGAGAGCCCCGATACCCATTGATGGAGGAATGCACCGTCCGACTCGTATAAGTTAAGGCATGTTCCTGGGTTGAAGGGATATTTGGAGCTCTCGTGTCTTCACCCTCAGTGGTGATCTTGATGGGGTTTAACTTTTAGGGTTGAGGGATAGTGCCGGAAGTTCTGCAGTTGCTTCTGGCAAGTTCTCTAAGCGGACGACCTTGTCTGGAGCTTGTGGCACGGCCACTTTATTGGCTGTCCTTGTGTCCGAAGGCACCGTTGAATTCAAGACCATACCTTAAGCTACCTTTCATCGAAGCATTAAGCCTTGCATAGTTTTCATGTTTTCGCCCTGGAGCGCCCCCACTACGGTGTTTAACTACAAACCTCCGAATAGGGGACCCTAATAATATAGCAATTACTCTAAATAGTTGGATCCTGATTATAGGGATCCCACATAAGATACCCCTACTTTTCGGAAACTCCCATTTGATCACCTCCGGACCCCTCGAAAGTCAAGCGAGACGCTGCGAATCCCGTGCCAGCAGCTCCTCGATGAGCGCACAAACGGCCGCCTGCCGATTCTTGGACAACTCTTACTACAGTCAACGTACATCACCGTTCAATCTAGTACTCATTATTATGGTTATAGGACAACTCTGCTACATAAAACGCACATGCACATTGTAGTTCATTATATAGTTATAGGACAAATATACAACACTAAATGTACATTATAGTCCATGATCGTACTCAACATAGTCATAGCATGTGACAGTATATCGCTGTACCTCTTCTACTCTAGGCCCCCTTAGCTTCAGAACACCGCCAAAGCAACATAGCATATCAAATGCGCTGCTGACAGCCCCCATGCGCTAAGCACCTGCAACAAGTCCTTATCTAAGCACTACACCTTGCACCCATAGCCGACCGAGCTAACGATAGTCTCTAGACCTTAAACGCTGCCTCTACCACCCCACCATAAGCCTAAAACCCTAATAGCCTAGCCACTACGGAAAACCCAAACCCCTGCTATAAAGACAAACCCCTATATAAACCCTGACCCCTACTATAAACCCTAACCCCTACCATCTACAAAAGCTGATGACCTACTCTAATCCCAAAGCCCTTGCCCCGAAAGCAAGCTGCATCTCCTTCCAAAGACATCCAAACCGGTCCCAAAATCGTAAACTCTCAACCGTAAGCCTGTACAGAATCAACCTTTCAATCCCAAACCCCAGCACCCATGAAGCAAACTGAACCAACCCTAAACCCTAAACCCTAAACCAACCACCTTACAAACCCTGAACCCAAGCCCGGCTCAACCCCTAAACCCTAAACCCCTACAGGTAAAAGCCAGAAAGTTAGGGGTTTAGGGTTCAGGGGTGTAGGGGTTTAGGGTTTAGGGGTTTAGGGTTTGGGGGCATAGGCCGCTACCTATTTTGGAATAGGGCTTCAAGGTAGGATACCCTGTTATTTTCCATAGAAGGGTTAGGAGAATCATATGCCAACTTTCTGGCTTTTACCTTAAACCCAAAACCTTACAAATGCCCCGCCTTGGCAGCCCGGGGCTCGGTACCACGGCCGAACTCGTCGACCTGAGGCGGATGCTGACCGTCGGTTCGGCTGAAGTTATGAAGTCCACTAGGAAGGGCAGGGACTTAGCAAGTAGGTTATCAGTAGAGTTATAAGCACCCTAAATGGAGATACCCCAATTATAACCCTACTTATAACCTACTTACTAAGTCCCCTGCCCCTCCAAGCACCAGGTATCTTCAGGAGTCTTTAGGATTTCAGGATTTAGAGGTTTAGGGGTGCAGGGTGGTGAGGTCTGGAGCTTCACACCGATTCGATTTCAGCCATTAGTGAAGTCAAAGCACTAGCAGTGCGATGATAAGTATTTCAAAGGGGAAAAGGAGGGACCCCTACCCTATAATGGGCCATTATAATGGGTATATTTTAGGTATATACCTAGGGGTCCTTATTAAGGGTCCGTCCTTTTACCCTTGGAGTATTGAAAGGCTCTTGTTTGCACTGCTGTTGTGCCTTTGTTTTTTTGCTCGAAGCCTGTACCCCTCAACACCGAATAGAACACAAAATGCGAGACAACACCGAACCACCCGAAGAAAACCCGACAACACCAGATCATAGAACTACTGAAGCACCTTAAACATTTCAGCCCAGCCCCTAAACCCTAAACCCTAAACCCTAAACCCTAAACTCTAAACCCTAAACCCTAAACCCTAAACTCTAAACCCTAAACCCTAAACCCTAAACTCTAAACCCTAAACCCTAAACCCTAAACCCTAAACCCTAAAACTTCAGACCCCCGCCTTTCCAAAACCAGAAGCAAACATTTCAGCTCTCGCCTCCCCACCTCACAGGCACCCTAACTTTTAGAGCCCCCCCAACAAAGCACATAAGCCAAAATTAGGATAGGGATATCCCATATAAACCCCCTTATAAGGAAGCCCATTATGGTAGGGATATCCCTATAAAATGCTTCTGTGCTTCTTTGTCCCCTAAACTTTCGCTCTTCATCGTTTGAGATGTTTGCTCGGGTTTAAGCGGTCAGGGTGTAGAGCTCAGAGTAAGCGCTTCTACCCGCTACTCTATCCACTGGAAAATTCAAATCACAACAAAAACCAAACTGAAACCTCAGGTTGAACAAATATTTATGAACGAACAGTCACCTGCATATAGACCGAGAGCTCAAAACACAGAGTTCCTCCAGGCTAGATAAGCCCGCAACCCTAAACCGTGAATCCCGGTAATCCTGGCAGCCCCCAGAGCCCCGCGCCAGTGCCAATGTCCGAGGTCCGGCACGCCGTAGAACCGTGGCCGAAACCAACGCCTCCTGACCTTCCCAGAAGCTCCAGTATCCCCTAATTAAGGAATTTACCTCAAATTATAGTAGGATCCCTGATTTGAGTGGCCGAAACCAACGCCTCCTGGCCTGTCAGAAATACCAGAGAGCTCTTACAGCTCTTAACTAGTGGCCTTGTATGTGTATGTAATGGAGACCTTTTAGAGAATAACAAAGAGCTCTTAGAAAGGTTTTGTGACGTGATGGTTTTGCCCATCGTGAGACTCCTCAAAGGTTATATGTCTTTAGTTGTGTGTGTCCTTTTCTTGCTTTAGGAAGCAGTCTGACCTTTTCAGTTTCGGTTTAAGGTATTTTCGGTATTATCGGCTGAGTATGACTGATGGTGTCACGTTTATGGGACTCAAGGTTCAGGGTTTAGCTTTTTGCTGTTGCTAGTCCTGCAGGGTTCTATAAAGGGTTTAGGGTTTAGGGTTTAGGGTTCTATAAGGGTTTGTCGTGGTTCTTTCAACGGGGCCTTAACGTGGTTGCCTTCTTTCTTAACAAACTATTTGTTGGCTGCTGGCGTTTGTGTTTCTGGGTTGCTCTGTTGTGACCCTGTGTCTGCTTGACACTTGCTTTGTTCTGCATCGTCTTGCTGTTGGTCTTCGTACTCTAAGCTTTGTGTCTTTGTTTGCTGATCGCATGTGTTCAGGGATTCAGGACATAAGCATTGGCGAGTGTTATGGTTCCGAGGTTGTGGCTCCAGGGCTCTTGCATTAGGACATCGGGTTTAACAAGCATAAACCGAAAGTCAAACGAAACTACGGAGAACAAAACAAACTGCACAAGCTCGGGGAAAGAGCAAGGATCTCAGCGCAAAGCCCTGAGCAACACGGTGGCCGCGCAAGGCTCGCGGTCCGACTGCATACCTGCATACCCTCACACATGAACAAGCAAGCACGTCCAAGATGACTTGGCGCCAGTAGCTGCTTGGAGCAGGAACCAGTAGCTACAGGAAGACTGATCCCGTGAGAAGCACTACTGAACTTAGTATCATGACACAAGACAGCATTAAGCACAGTAGCAGTGATCCTTCAAGACCATACATTAACAGTAGCTTCGGTTTGCTTACTGACGGCCTTTACACCTGCCAAATTACTCTTAATAATCGTGAAGGACATCTCGTTTGATGCGCTACTGCAGAGCTACTGCCATGCAGTGTGTGCAGGGCTGCCGCTCTAAGACTCAACACTAAATTTGGAAACCGCCATTGACTTGAAGCTTTGGAATTTGCTGAGGGGGTGCGTGGAAACGGACTCCGTTTATGAGGCGCCTGGGTTTCAACACAGCCAACAACCTCTCCCGAAAACCAAAGCCGCGAAACCCGAAACCCATAGCCCCATTAGTCCTAAATCCTGAAGCTGAAAGGATCAAACAGCCAACTCGGCCTTCAACCCTAAACCCTGGACCCTCACCCCCCTTATAACCCCGAAACGCACTAACTAGATGCTGGTTATCGATGACCGAGCAGCCAAAGGCACTGACTCCTTCTGCCGGTCGGTCGCCTTCCCAGGAAGACTTCGAACGCCCTTTATTCAGGACTTCGGGTTGTAAGGCGCAAGGTTTACCAGCTTAGCCTAAACCCTAAACCCTGGACCCTACACCATAAACCCCAAAGGGCAATTGTTATGTTCGAGGGACCCAGGAGTGGGGCAAAGGCTTTAGCGACAGGGTCTAGACTCTGTTGGTCTAATTGTGGGTTTTGTGCGGAGGAGGGGTGAAGGTGTACAGTTTAGGGATTCAGTCTTTCTCGTTTTGGTTCTTTGGTCCATGTGATTTGACGAGGTGGAGAGTTCTGCGCACTTTCAGATGTCGAGTTTAGGGCATGGGAGTGTTAGGTTTGGGGGCCAGGAGTCGTTTCTTTGGCTTGGAATGGGCTTGAGGCTGAAAGGAGGCTATGGGATAAACCCGGTGCACATACTCCTGAGCTCATGCCACTGCAATGAAAAGCAATGCAATACTCCCTCAAATTGCTCTGATAAGGGATGCTGCAGTGAAACAGCTTCTAGGTGCTTCAAGGTTTAGTGTTCGCACCACCTTGGTCGCTGGCAGAGCTTCCGGCACCAGCGACGTGGAACCCTCACCCATAGCAGCCACAGATGGACCCCGGATCCCTTTGAATATTGGGTGTGCTGTAATCGAAGTGTATTGGGACGATAAGGCCTTGGGGATAGTGTCAGACCTCGAAGCTGCAAGCCCTGAACCTAAAACTCTAAACCCCAAACCCTTCAAAACACTGAAACCACGATCCCTACTTGGAAGGGCAGGGGACTTAGTAAGTAGGTTATAAGTAGAGTAGAGTTACAAGTACCCTAAATGGAGATACCCCATTTATAACCCTACTTATCACCTACTAAGCCCCCTGCCCCTCCAAGTACCTGCATGTCACTCACTGCCCTCACTCCCTGCAGTGCCCCAAGATCCGGCCTTCTGCCGAGACAAAGCTGACTTGGCGATACCTGGGGAGGATCTGACCCGAGCGGGCGGTTCGGGTTCAAAGTTCCAGGGTTCCAGGGTTCGTGGGGAGAATCACATACTGAATAACATGCTTTCATGTTTAGGCTTACCTTTGTGTTGTTAAATCATGATACAAATATATATATATATATATATATATGTATATAGATAAACAGAAACATGTGTCACAAAACCTGTCCAGGGTTTAGGATTTAAGAGTTTAGGATTTTGGGCTTGGGGATCGAACTCGTCTCAAGGAGCGTGATAAGACCTGGGACAGGGAACCTGTCAGAAACTCATCCATAGGAGCCTTCTGAAACCTCTATAGAGCCACCTCAAAAGCCGAATTAAACTCTAAATCCTAAGCCTAGACCCTGAACGCAATCGAAGGTAAAACTCCTTAACACCCCCGACACCCCCCCAAAAAAAAAGCATCTCGAAGCCCAAAAGCTGGTGTGCCTTGGTATGGCGCCCCCGCGCAGGCATGGCACCAGAAATCCGCAGCTTGAAAGAAGCGCCGAGGCGCCTGAGAATGAGTTTCTACGGTGGATGATGTAAATCCTAAGGGTTCCTCTAAAGAGATCTATAAGGGTACCTTGAAGGGGATCTATCGGTTTTAGGGTACAGGGTGATGATAAATGGATTTCGGGTTTAGGGTTTAGGCTTCATCCTAGTGCTGGGATCTCCTACATATACTTTGCCTTAAAGGGAACTCCAGAAAGTTGGAATATGGTTTCAGGGTAGGATACCCTATAATTTACAATAGAAGGGATTAGGATAATCATATTCCAACTTTCTGGCTTTTACCTTAAGGGCATGAGGATACTGATGTTCCGACTTTCTGTCCTCTACTATACATATGAGCTTCTACGGTGGATGATAGAAATCCTGCATTACCCCAAGGACCCTAAACTATGGGAATTATGGTATACTCCTTACCATGGGTAATGCAGGATTTATATCATCAACCGGTAGTTGTTCCTTAAAGACGAAATGAGCCCTAGAATAGAAAGGGTTAAGGTTCATATACTATTATAGGGGTTCAAAGTATCAGGGTATAGGGCCCCTACTTTTAATGGACATTTGGTCCTCCAGGTTCGAGGCATGCTATAGGGATTCCCTCTAGGGGTTCTACGGGATTCATTCGGGTTTATGAGCTTGAGGATTCAGGGTTGCGCGAGTTTAGGGCTCACAAGGAATTAGGGTTGTAATCATATGATTTAGCCGTCTATCGGAGTAGATATCTGTCTATCTACTCACTTCACAGACTGCGCTTGAAGGGACAGTTTTGCTGTACTGGGCCGTGGTCGATTTCCAACCAGCCAAAACGTTCACATACATCACCAACGCTTCACATGGTCAGGATCCATGTTACTATGATATATGCGTGGGTATGTGGGATGATTGATCGATCGACACACGAAGATCCTTGAAGCTTCGAAAAACAGATGTCCCGAACGATGAAGTAGCGTACAGCGTACATGATCGGGACAGCAAGAGTGCGAGGTGGCCATCGTCCATGGCTATCAGATATGCAGCCCTGTTTTCTGACAGGGCCGCTGAACGAATCAGCAAGGAGCTGCCAGGAAATGAAACGGCCCCAGGTCATACAGGAACTCTACTTCCCAAAGACTCCGAGCATGCGTTTAGCCCCTGCCTTAGGGTCTGACATCTACATAAAGTGCCTACTCTAGGCTGCTGGGATTGTTAGATATCGTTGTAGATCGTTGTAAGGCTTAAGAGCCCTGAACCCTCAACCCTAAACCCTGTGAACTGCGCCTATGGCTCTCATCAGTGTGCTCTTGCCGGACATGTTCGGACCTCGAGCACAGTCGCAAGGACACGCTTGGAGGTTTTGGCTAGGATCAGAGGAAGGTTCCCTTACTTGAGGGGGGTCTACAAGGGCTCCTATGGGGTTTAATGGGGCCTTAAGAAATACATTAAGACTTTGGGTTTTGGGGTATGCGATACTATTAGTATAATTAATTAGGAACCCTAAAACCCTGCTTTTGATTTAGGCCCATATATAACGTAAAGGTTTGGGCTGTCAGGGTGTAGACCTGGGCTTAAGAGTTTAAGCGCCCAGGAAGGTCTGGATAATGTTGAGAGCTTCGGACTTAGGGTGATTCGCCTTGGCTGCGGGTTTAGGGTTTAGGATGAGTGCTGTTTTGAATATCTTGCCGTCAATGCGCGCAGCAAGCAGAACCCTGCAACCCCTGAAAACCGCTCATGAAATCAAAGAGCCGTGATAGCAACCCTCACCCGAAGGGTCCAAGTACCTAATAATCATATACTCTCCCAAATCGCAACCTACACAGCTATTATCCGAAACCAAAGTACCTGATCACTGGGTCGTTTGGACCTTTAGGGTTATTCAATCCCGAATGGAAACCTTCAAGAAACCACGATCCAACTCTCCAACGTCAAACTCCAAGCCCAGCCCCAAGCCCTAAGCCCTAATCACTAAGCCCTAAACCCTTAAACCCTTAAACCCCTAAACCCTTAACCCTGAAGCCTCAATACCCTGAAACCCTAAGACCCTAAACCCGTATTATATAAAGCCTATAAGCTGCAAAACCCTAAACTGTCGATCCTTGGGACCCCATGCCCACTCTCTTGAGGCCACTCGGCCCAAGAAACTCTATGTGAACTCCCGCCTTGGGTAAATCCGAGTCACTCCAGGGTTCAGGGTTTAGGGTTGAGGGCTTGAGGGTTTTCACAGGTTTTTGTTTTTTTAGGGCTCCTTTTTGGGTCCGCACGTCGTATCATATTAAGGACCCCAAAAGGGACCCTAATTTTGACAACTACCCATCTGTTTATGGAGTCATATGGGGGTTTCCGAAAACAGGGGACCCCAATATAGTATTGTGAATAGTAGGATCCTATTATAAGGACCCCAAGATAAAGTACCCCTAATTTTCGGAAACTCCCATATGGCAAATAGATCGAAGTAAGAAAGAGTAGGATGGGAGCCTGTAGCAATCGCTCCACGCGCCCCCAAGGCCACATGCGAAAAGACGGCGTCACTGGGGTGCATCCTCGGTGTCCGAAAGCACAGCGGAGTCCTTAAATTTCAGCAGCCATACTTTCAACCATCCAAACCCAGCAGCTATGGTATATCGGGCAGTATCCCAGCCGATTATAGTAGGTACCTGGACCCTGAAACACTAAAGCCACAAAGAACTGAACCCTGAATCCTTGCTACCCCCTTTGGAACTCTTGGGTTTTTTGACCCTTCGGGTAAACAGCCAGACTCTTCCGCCAGAGCCGGAATCCTGAACCCTAGAAACTCATATAGTAGAAGACAGAAAGTTGGAACATGGCTTTAGGAGGATTAGTGCTAGGATCCCCTCTATCTACTCTACCCTAAGGGTATGAGGACAACGATGTTCCAACTTTCTGGCTTCTACTATATGTATAGTGGAAGACAGAAAGTTGGAACATCAATACCCTCATGTTCTTCAGGCAAAAAAAAGGAGATCCTGGCACTAGGATGAAGCCTAAACCCTAAACCCGAAATCCTACAGATCCCCTTGAAGGTGCCCTTATAGATCCCTTTAAAGGAACCTAAGGGATTTATTGAATGAAGCGCAAACCCTAAACCCGAAATCCATCTCCCGATCTTCGGGGATTCACTGTTGCCCTGAAGGCTGGGCGGCACACTACTTGGAAGGGCAGGGGACTTAGTAAGGGCTCTTAAAGGGCTCCTTAAAGGGATCTATAGGGTTCCTTAAAAGGGATCTATGGGGTTTAGGGTTTAGGGTTTACTTGGAGGGGCAGGGGACTTAGTAAGTAGGTTATAGCTGGGGTAACTCCATTTAGGGTACTTATAACTCTACTTATAACCTACTTACTAAGTCCCCTGCCCTTCCAAGTAGGGACCATGATAATCAGCAAAGAGCATCGCGATGAGGTGGTGTAGCTAGATGCCCAGAGAATGCACTATCCTTACTTATGGAATATTCCTTATAAATCATATTCGGGATCCTGATATGATTTAAGGTATATTCCTTAATTAAGATACATTGGAGCCTCTGGATACTGTAGTAATGTAGGTATCTGGACCTCGATATTCCACCCTGAATTCCACCCTGGAGTTTAGGGTTTAGGGCTTCGGGTATAGGGTTTAGGGTATATGGGAGTTTCCAAAAATTAGGGGACCTTACTTTATGGTCCTCATAATAAGGATCCTTCTATTTAGGGTACCATATTAGGGTCCTCTGTTTTCGGAAACTCCCATATCTAGAGTCTAGAGTAAAGGCCTGAAACAAAAGAAAAAAGGCTTTGCGGGATGTTGTGCCACGAAGCATCTGAAAGCATAAACCTCTAAGACTCTACGTCCTATACTCCAAACAGAAACGCTAAATTTCTCTAAATCTCAAATCCGCAGAGCCTAAACTCCTGAACCTAATGAAAACTCTCATAATACCGGGAGGCCAGTACGGGAAGAGGGTACAGGAAAGACTGTTATCTGAGATCTCCGGAAGCGTCCATCCGCGACCTGCACGTGAGGTTTGAATTAACAGGATTTATAGGGACTAGAGTAAAGGGTTTTGGTCTGGGCTTCAGCATTCAGAGGGGTAGGGATTTTCACACTCTAAGTGCGTATCGCAAGGTAGGCACTTTTTTTATAGACTAGAAATAGATTCAGAATTGGAGTCTTGGGGATTTAAGGCTTATAGTTTACCGTGTTCAGCACTAGGGGTTTAAGGTGTGCGGCTTAAGGCTTCTATGTTTCATTGCTTAGGACTCGGTTTCGAAGGGGCTGTGTAGGTGGTTTGCTCGTTATTCGGGCTGCCGGTTTCGGTTGGGTGACTTTCTTGTGGATTTGGATTCATATGTGTTGGGGTTTCATGCTTAGGAAGCATCCTCCAAGCTTGGGCTTAAGGTTTAGGGGCTTAGGGTTTAGGGTTCAGGGCTCAGCTGTAAACCAGAAGCAATCAAGGCTGAACTAGCAACCGGTGGTCACGAATCGAATTCAGCAAGAGGAAGGTCGCGGATCAGGTTGACTGCCGACAGGCATGTGTCTGCCGCAACACGCTCCTCTGCACCCCTCCAGAATGCCGTGTGCCAGCACCAATTGCTTGTAGGATGCCCTCAGTGAAAGTTGCTTGCGCTGGTTTAGGGCATGTCGCAGCATGTTGCGCGTGCCATCATGTTGATAGAAGTCCAGCTTGACCAGTCCGCTGTCTTTGCGCTGCTGGACCTGCTAACTACATGACATGGGGTTCTAGACTACGACATACAGGTACATGTACAAGTATGTTGCATCAGCTGAAGCCACCATGTTCAGAGCGGCGTCTTTCTGCACGCCTGATACATCTTCCAGATTTAGGGTTTAGGGCTGTCTCCGTTTCCAAGAGTGAGTCGTTGGATGTACGTCGTCCTTGAAACTTTGACTGCCAAACCTTTTCCACGGCTCCAGCCTACCTACTGAACACATCCTACCCAGACACCCCATAGTATAGAATCCTATCAGGTTACCTCAAAATGGAACTACTATGGGGCGTATGGGTAAGCCCTAAGCCCCTTCATTTCCTATTCCGCACCGGCTTCAGGCGAGAAGACGGCCGGGCCTGTCAAGCATGAGCACCATGCACGTAGAATTTAAGGGTGTTCGGGGAGTGCTGCGGTTTGGGTTTAGGGGTTTAGGGTTTATAGGGTTTAAGGAATCCTAAGGCTTGAAAAGGCCTTTGATCCGTCCCAAAGGCAGCCTGAGCAGCGGTAGGATTCACCCGAAGACAAAACAGTAGCCAAGACACTGCCTATACAACGCTGTTGTTCTGCATACTTTGAGGGTCTTCGGGTATAGGATTTCGAAATAGGAACCCTTACTTACAGCGTCGACCCCCGGCACTTTGACCCAAGGACCACCTGCAGCGTGCGCAGCATGGTTGTAGGCAAGCAGGAGAACCTCGCAGAAGGGCTGGATTGGGATCTATGGTTTCGGTTGTGTTCAAAGGTTCAAAGCTTAGGGTTTAGGGAGTCGGGTTTCGGATTCTAGGAGGGAAAGGGCTTCCCTACTGTTCCACAAGGGTTATTTTCGGACTGCTGCGAGGGTTTTGTAAAGGCCACTAGACATGCCAACATACTAGAAGGACTATTATACCAGTGCCATGAGGACTCGCACAACAGAGGTAGCTACATTGATTCTACACTGGTATGAGGGTTTCATGAGGCCTACTCTACGAACTCTGCAAGTGTGCGGGCTTGTCAGCGGGTGTCCTGCTTCTGAATCTTAAAGGCCATATATCCTAAAACCTATACACCTGAAGCTACATGCCTTTCACCGGTGGGAGTGTGGGGATGCGTTGGGGCAAACGTCGCCACCTGGCGGACAGACACATCCTACGGTTGCTGATATAAATCCTGCATGACCCATAATACGGAATACACCATAATTCCCATAGTTTAGGGTTTAGGGTTTATAGTTTAGGGTCCTTAAGGTAATGCAGGATTTATATCATCAACCGTAGGACTTTCCTGTGTAGGTTTCGAGAAGAAGGGGTTTCGGGACTGGTTTAGGGTTTAGGGGGGATTAGGATTGGGGACCTACTTGGAAGGACAGGGGACTTAGTAAGTGTTATAAGTAGAGGTATAATTGGGGTAACTCCATTTAGGGTACTTATAACTCTACTGATAACCTACTTACTAAGTCCCCTGCCCCTCCAAGTATAGTATGAGCAACATCTTGCACTGAACCACGTCTATACCTCTGCAACCCGCAGTAGGGTCCGTCCAAGGATTTAGGACTTAGGGCTCGGGTATACGTTTTGATGATGGGTCAAGCCACCATTATGCCACTCATCGAATAAGACAGCAGCACCGGTTGATGCCGCGCTGGGCTTAAGCTTTAATTTAATGCTAGCGCATACAGCTGGTCCAAAAAATCCGCATAATCCATCACAAGGCATATAATTGCTGAATATACAGTGATTCTTTTGGGGAAGCCGTTAGCCAAATCTGGCTGGCAACTAGCTTTCGGCGATCTCGGCCGCTTTACCGTTTTGTCCTCGCCTCTGCTGCGCAGATTGTCCCCCGCAAAGTCTCCACGTGGCCTCACAAAGCAAGTTGAAGCAGGCTTTGGGTTCATTCTTGTAGGGTTAACGGTGAGACTGTAGGGGGTTTGGGGTTCTGTAGGGGTTCCTTAAGGTTTGTTTTTTTTTTAAGGTTTGGGGTTTAGGGTTTAGGGTTCTGTACTTGGAGGGGCAGGGGACTTAGTAAGTAGGTTATATGTAGGGTTATAATTGGGGTAACTCCATTTCGGGTACTTATAACTCTACTTATAACCTACTTACTAAGCCCCCTGCCCTTCCAAGTAGGGTTAAAGTGTAGACTTTAGGGCCTACGGCTACTTACTTTGAGGCCCATAACCATACATAAGGCCCCAGACCAGTAAATCTCTGCAGCATCGCACTCCAAGCCCCTGCACTGCCCTGCACACGGTTTGAGGTTTAGGGTTCCGAAACCTTAAACCCTAAACCCTAAACCCTAAACCCTAAACCCTAAACCTTACGCCCCAAATACCCAGGAAGCCTCCGACTATCCTGAGAGCCTAAATACCCATGGGGGCTTTAGAGGGTCCTGGTGGAAACCTTTCCCCAAATCCAATCAATGAATCCTCGCGTTTAGGCTTATGGACTTCACCCTAAACCTTAAACAGTTTAGGTTTAATTTAAGGTCTCGGATCTTGGATTCTTGGTGTGCAGTGAAACTCTAACCCTAAGCTAAACCCATGGGCGAGGCTTATCCAGAGCCAGAGGCGAGTCTGCTTGAAAGAAGAGCGTGCCAAGTCCAATTCTGACTATCTTTTAAGGACTTGAAGAAATCATAATAAGGAACCCCCAAAAGGAAGGTTCTTTAGGGTCCAGGTATACTGCATGAGCTGTGTAATCGTAAGCCCCCACCCCCAAAGCCATACCAATCTCACGTGATATCCGACGTCTGATCTTCGGTTCTTCATGGGTCGCTTTAGTAAAGAGTGGGGGTTTAGATGGGTTTCGGGTCTTAGGGTCGGACTACTGTGACTATACGGGACCTTCATCGGCTTAGTTTAGGGGTTTTAGATGGGTTAAGGCTTATGGGGACTCCTAAAGTGGGGACCCATTTCACCATTCCCTGCTAAAAACCAGAAACTTGTCTACATTGCGGGAGCATCTCAAGAGCGAGACCAGTTCCCCGTAAAACGGATCGCAAAGCCCAAACACCAACAGCTCTGTAAGCGAAGGCGGGGTTGGGTTTAGCGTCTAAGCTTTAGGGATGCAAACCTGAAATTCGAAAACAACAAACCACAAAACTCAATCAGCCCTAAACCTTAAAACCTGCTGCAAACGCTTCCTCAGGCTCCGAGCACACAAACAATGCAGACCCCGGGTGAAAAAACAAAAAGCTTCCTTTAAGGCTCCTGATATTTGGACTTTGGACCCTACTCTGTTTTTTGGCTTTAACCGATGCCTTCTCCGCAATATAGAACCTACTACCGTAGCTAAAGGATCTATGGAGTGTGTCCAGGGTTTGCGGGATAGTGTGCTCAGGTCCGAAAAATGGAACCGCACCCTTACTTGCAAAAAACACCACCTGAAGGGACCCTAAGTTAAAGAACTACCCATATTCAAAGGGGAATAGGAGGGACCCTTAATGGGGACCCCTACCCTATAATGGGCTATATAATGGGTATATCAAGGCTATATAAAGGCTATATTAAGGGTATAAACCTAGGGGTCCTTATTAAGGGTCCCTCCTTTTCCCCTTTGACATATAGTACCCTGATAGAAACCCTTATAGATCCCTTTAGTAAGCCTAAGCGGGCCCTCTTGGAATGCTTGCCAGGCGGCTACTCAGCTCCACGCAGAGAAGCTGCAAGGCCTCTCAAGCTTCTCAGAGGCCCAAAAGCGACTACCCTGCCGGTTTTGGGTTCAGGGTTTAAGATTTATAAAAGGTTTAGGGTACCTTACAGTACGTGGAGGATTTGAGAAACAGGGGCGAACCGCTCAAAGGGGACTAGAGGACTTGAGAAACAGGAAGCCAACCGCTCGAAAAGGAGTAACAAATTTGAGAAACAGCCAGCAAACCTCGCGAGAAGGACTATATTTGAGAAACAGGAAGCAAACCGCTCGAGAGGGACTATATATCACTTGGGTCCTTGACAATTGGTTCAGAACCTCAAGCCAGATCCCAAACCCGCTACAGTGCTGTAACCCAACACCAGTAACCATGACCCTGACATCTAAGCTGCACCGTCTCTGGCGGAATGGCAGAATGGGGGCTTAAGAAGCCAACCAGGTCAGGGAAGCATGCGATAAAAGTCTGGGCCGACTGTGCTCTATTGACACATGCTGAAGAATGACCGAAAAGCTTGAAAGTCCCGTGGAGGGACAGAATTTCGGACAGGCAGCAAGCGAGACCATCATCATGAAGCCTCGCTCCCAGGAACCCAAATGTGAAAGCCCACACAACTGCACACACAGACACACCCTCATGCACACAAACTTGCCTGCTGCACCGCGTTCTCTGCCGCCTTGGCGGCTGCCAGGTATGCTGTGTGAGCGGCCTGGCACTAAAGGGGCAGGGTTTCGCTTTGAGCTCAGGTTCAGCCCCTGGTTTAAGGGCTATAGGTTAGAAGCTGCCCCCACCCTGTAAAAGTGACAAAAAGAATTATATAGGATTATATTAGGGCCCTACTATATTCCTATTATACCACTATTACAGGGTGGGGGCAGCTTCTAAGCTATAGGGTTGAGGTTTGCACTCTGAGGGCTTAGGGTTGCTCTGGCGTTGTTGCTTGTGGCCCTCCTTCTTCGGGGCAAGGCTCTGCGCTTAGGATTCTATGCCAAGTATCCAACTTTCAGATAATGCGATCAAACACCGCTCCCCCTAAACCCTAAACCCTAAAGCCTAAACCCTAAACCCTAAAGCCTAAACCCTAAACCCTAAAGCCTAAACCCTAAAACCCTAAACCCTAAACCCTAAACCCCTAAACCCTAAACCCTAAAGCCCTCACCGGAAGCAAGGTCACAACAACACTTTAACCCAAGGCTTCCCCGAGACCCAAACTTACAATAGGGGCCCTTAATAGTTAGAACAGGGGTTCCTTTAAAGGGGCCTTAATAATTTTTAACAGGGGCTATTTTAAAGGGGGCGTATAGAGTTATAGGGGATCTATAGGTAGGGTTCCATAATGTACTGTAGGGGCCTTCATATTGAGACTATGAGGCCCATTATACTAAAACATGGTCTAAGGAGCCCCCAAAATAGCCTTGGTAATTGGTTTAGGGTTTAGTGTTTAGGGTTTAGGGCCCCTATAGTACGGATGAATGAATCGAAAACACTCCTCCACCCAAGCCCGAAAACAGGAGGATCTCAGGGCAGGTACCAGCCTCCCTCGCTGCCATACGACATAACCAAGAGGGGCATTTCGATTCGTGAACGGCCCAAACCCAAAGCCCCTAAACCCCCAAATCCTGAAAACCAAAGCCCAACACCCTACAACTCGAAGCCTTTTAATTAACCTAACACGCCCAGACCACCCAACAACCTCAAGCCTTAGGGCTCTATACGATCAGCCTAAAATTAGATTATCACACACCCTTATCCATAAACCCCGAAACACATGCATTCTAAACTGAATAACGTGACCTCTTACAATCTCCGGCTAATTGGTGCGATACTATACACCCAATACGTTAGTCGAGAAACAATTAAAACAATCGTGAAACAAACTACCCAGAGCAAACTCGTACAAGAATCCTGTTACATTGATTTTGCTCCCTGCAACAGAAACCCTAGCAGACGAAACATCAAAGGACACACATACACGTACCGTTTGAATCTTTGTGCCACCAGTACCATAGGGGCCGAATAAAAAAAATACCAATACTATTTTGGGGGTTGCTTGCTATAATCATAGCATAACGGCATAACGGGACCCAAAACCCTATTCTAATTATTCTGGCCCCCATCCGATACTACCCCAACCCCAACCGATGCTTTTTCAGCTGCGCATCGCACCTGGAGTTCCTGCGTGGTGTAGCGGTCCTTCTTTGCCTGGCATCAGATGCTGTAGTTCTATGTGTGTATGTATACTTACATAGATAAGCAACCACATGAAACTCAGATGTAGGCAGGAGTATGAATCAACCTACAGACGTGCTCTTAATAACAAACCAAGAACAAACACACTATGTGTGAAATCTTCGCTCAGCAACAATGCCCCCCACCCAGAACATGAAACCCAAGCGACTTGTGTTTTACCGGTCTTCCCTAAACCCAAAGAACCCCTAAACCCTAAACCTTAAACCCTCAATGCCTAAGGAGATCTGTGCACACACTCACCCAAATCCGACCCTAAACCCTAAAAACCGTGGTCCCTAAACCTCAAACCGACCCTCAAGCCACAAGCCCCCAAAATTCTGGAACTCGGTACACTTGTCGATTTGTGCACGTCATCTATCAACCTAGACCTAAGAGTAAAGTAGGAACAAAAAGGGTGCCCTTTTTGGTTTAAAGGGGGTTATAAGGGAACCGAAACCCTCAAAAAGGGAATAAGGCCCTACTCTGGGTCCTAGCAACCGTTCTTCACGTCTTAGCCGGCCTTGCCCTTGCGATCAATGGCACCCCGGCTTTCCCCAGGCGGCTTCTGCTTGAAGCAAAGGTCGTTGTCGAAAGGATGGTACCTCAGAGGCCAGTGGCCCTACAGAGGTCCTAAGCCTTAGGTTTACGGGTTTGAGGTTTAGGTGTTAGGGTTGGGGGCTTGTGGTTAGGGTTTCTGAGGTTTAGGGTTTGGGGAATAGGGTTTTGGCTTGCGCACGTCTGGCTTGACGTTGGCAAGACAAGCATAAGGACACTGTTCAACGAAACAGAACCCAGTACACCTACGCAACCCCCGTTTATCCTCACGGCGACCCCTGTGAAAGGCTTCGCTAGCGTTTGCCTGCACGCTTCTTTCTTGCAAGGTCTTGTCCGCAATGTGTTTTTAGCCAGCATAAATAAAAACACGACCTTGGAGAGTATAGGGAGAGTTTCCTCTGCTTGTGGGCTTTAGGGTGGCAGGCTTTGGGACTTTGGCACGCTCTCCAATCTCAATCCTAAAGCAACCCCAAGAAGCCTAAAGCCGCTTAAAGCTCAAAAACACCAAGAAACCCCGCGCAGAAAAACACAGCCCTAAATCGCACGACCAAGACCAGAAAAAAATAAAATAAACTAAAGACGCACTTGCATAAAGCAAAAAAGCAAAGCCAGGCTACACCAGGGCATCTCGATGCTCAGGATGGAGGCCTCAGTTGCACGGCGCGGACTTCGAGAGCTTCGAACTGTAACCAGGCTGCTTGTGAAGGCCGCTTGTAGAGATTCCTCTAATTCGGGTTTAGGATTTGGGAGTTTAAAGGCTTCTGCAAGGGCTCATGGAGGGTTCCTGTAACAAGGGTTTCAGGTTTTAGAGATTTCGGGCTTTCTTTACAAGTGTGCAAGGCTCATGGTGTGCAGAAGACAGCCGCAAGGCAAACGAAACAGACGCCTCCACAGCAAGAGAGCTGTGGTGGGTAGGGGGGAAGTCCGGTGCTATTCCTTCAGTAGCTTCTGTTCATAAGTGTTTCTCGCTGGAAGGGATGCTCTGGGTGTAAAGAGGCCTTCGGGCGGCTTAGGCCTTATTTGGAGTTCGGCAGTTGTGGTGTTTGAGATCGGCTGGGGGTGCATGACACAATGCCTTTAGCCAGCATCATTCAACAGCAAAGCTGGCTAGCACATTAGGGGGAATCAGGCTGACATGTTGAAGAATTTACTTAGTATCTGCATGAAACCCTGAACCTTATTAAACCCTAGCACCACGTGCCTAAACAAATTATAGTAAAACTAGCCATAGGATCCATAAACTCTCGCAAGCCACGCACCTCGAATTTAGGGTTCAGCGCTTCGGGTTTGGGCTTACGGAAGACAGGGTTTGGGGGCTTTGAAAAAGGGGGTTTAGGGTTTAGCATTTAGGGTTGCGCACATTGTGGTCATAATATGGTGCAGCGTTCAGGGAAGCCTGAACAAATCAAGCAAATCGACAAACGTGGCTCCATCCTTCTGCCTATCTCAACACTAATTCTGGCAACCCTTTCTGAACCCCGGCCAGACTTAAACCGCAGAACCTGAACAGTAAATAGAACGTCCCTTCGCGACCTTATACTTCAACTCCGAACTTCAAACTTGTACAGTAGTCCTTCGGGAGGTTACGGGTGTTAGGGTATAGGGCTTTAGGGTTACAGGGCTCAGTTTGGGCTTCAGGGTTTTAGGGTTTCGGGCGTTTCAGGTTTAGGGCGTAGGGGAGTGAACTTCAGCCCCGATATCCTGCAAGCACTTCACTGTTTCAGTACGGCTGATGATATAAATCCTAAGGGTTCCTTTAAAGGGATCTCTAAGGGCACCTTTAAGGGATCTATAGGGTTTAGGGTTTAGGGTGAAGATATAAATCCTGCATTACCTTAAGGACCCTAAACTATGGGAACTAAAGTATATTCCTTATTATGGGTAATGCAGGATTTATATCATCAACAGCAGGTCCTTAGGTTCCTGAATAGGCCGGTAATCATAAGGGTATCATTTTTCCGCATAGCACTGCCTACTTACTTTGGAGACCCCAAAACAGAAACGGCAAAAGGGTACTACCCCGGAACCTAGGTAGACCCTCGAACCCCCATAGATCCCTTATGGAACCCTGTAATTAGGAGCCACTTATGGAGCTTTGATGAGTGGGCCATGGCGCCGTTTTTGAGAGCTTCCAGAAGGTCTGCCCGACACCGCTGCAGGCCTCGGCTGCAGGTAGCTTTGGGGTACAGGGAGCTCTTGAACTCCTACCCTAAACTCTATATACCTTAACCCTGAATAGCCTACCCTTCTAGCGTTCCTTATTATGAATTCTGTATATATTATACTACTGAGCGACCCTAAACCCTAAACCTTAACCCTGAATACCCTACCTTTTTACAGTTCCTTTTTATGATTTCTTTATATAAGTCCTTAGAAAGGTAGGTTATTCGGGGTCAACGTAAGCCCTAAACCCTAAATTACCGAAGGCAAGGAGTCTTGGGGGTTTTTTCTCGGGTGCAGGGCCATATCCTGGGGTTCTTGGGGTGTGGAAGGGTTCACAAATCTCTAGACCTTTCGAGATTCTATCAGGAAGACTATAATATTCAGCATTCAAACTCCTAAGTTCGCGCAATGCGTTTAGGGTTGCAGCAAAGGCTTTTGGGAGTTCGGGCTTTAGTGTTCAGGGCTTAGGAGTTCATGGGGTTTAGGGTTTAGGGTTTAGGGTTTAGGGTTTAGGGTGGGTATGTGGCCATGAAGGAGGCTTTGGCCGTACATTGACATGCAATGGCGAGGGAACCTTGGGCGGCCGCACAACAGCTGTGTGTGCTTCAAAAAAACCCTGAACCCTGAAACCTTACGTACAAACCTTCACATATATATATAGGATCTTCAAAATGTAGACAAGACCCAGTAATCAAGGAGTTCCCATCGTATGGCTACCTAACCAGCTGAGAAACCCACGCAAGACCTATACTTTATTGGCGAACCCTCTGGTCTCGTGATGTCTCCAAAGCAGATACCCTGAACCCGAAACTCTGAAACAGGGAACTAGACCTAAGAGTAAAGTAGGAACAAAAAGGGTGCCCTTTTTGGTTTAAAGGGGGTTATAAGGGAACCGAAACCCTCAAAAAGGGAATAAGGCCCTACTCTGGGTCCTAGGGAAGCTCCCGATGATTTTGTCGAAAACCCTCACAGGCAAGTCCAAGCCACGTGAATAGGCGTCAAAGACATGCTCCTGACTCCGCACAGCAAAGCCCTAATCATGTGCAATCTAGACACGAACCCCTCAAGCCCCAAACCCCCTTCAACCATTAAAACTCTCAAACCCTCAACCCGAAACCGAAGACCCTCTTTCATTGCAAAGGAGGTGGAAGCCACACGAAGCGCACTCTTACTGCTGAAGTACAGCAATCCATTAGCTCAAGCTCCTTGAGTATGCTTCATACGACGTCAAAAGCAAAGAAAACACACAATTCTCGCATGTCCTTAGACACACTTAAACAACCCGGCCCAAGTACATTCCGCGTAAAAGAAGCTGAATGAAATCCCTTCCCACCCAAAACCCTACAGATCCCGATGGTAAATTGTGTCCCGGCAAGGGACGCGAGTGTAGTACCTATAAAGGCGAGAGGGTAGATTCATCAGAATCCTACATCAACCCTTGTGGAACCAAGCGCCAGAAAGAAATCGCATGAAACCTGGACCCAAACCCTAAAGCCCAAACCCACACCCAACACCCTAAACCCAAAACCCTATAAACTCCAAACCTAAACTCTAAACCCTAATAGCAGACCTAAAACTCTAAACGCCAAACCTTCCTCCCTAAACCCAACACAAAGGAGTCCATGCACCCGAATAGCAGACCTAAGACCTAAAACTCTAAATGATAAACCTTCCTCCCTAAACCGAACACAAAGGAGTCCATGCGACTCCTGCTCTTGGCTGGCCACACCACGGAAATTCTCGTTGGCCTGGCGTGCCGGCAAAGCTTCTGCTCGGGGCTTTTGTAGGGCTCGTAGGGTGTAGGGTTTAGGGTTTTAGGGTTTTAGGGTTTAGGGTTTTAGGGTTTTAAGGGTTTTAGGCTGTAGGGTTTAGGGTTAAGGGTTTAGGGTCGTACTTGGAAGGGCAGGGGACTTAGTAAGTAGGTTATAAGTAGGGTTATAATTAGGGTAACTCCATTTAGGGTACTTGTCAGTCTACTTATAGCCTACTTACTAAGTCCCCTGCCCTTCCAAGTAGGGTGTATCTTACCTAGAGGGTCATACCCTACCCCTGTTTTAGGTTACCTGGTTTTATGGTTAGGATCTCCGATATAGAAAAGTAGGTATCTTAAAATTAAAAAAGGGGGTAGGGTATGAGCCTATAGGTAACCCCGAGTGACCTACGTTTTTTAGGACTTATAGAGAAATCATAAACAGGAGCCCTAAAAAAGCAGGTTTTTCAGGGTTCAGGTCGGGTTTGGGGTTTGGCGGCTTGGTGGTTTGTGGTTTGGGTCTACAAGGAACTCCAGAAAGTTGGAATATGGTTTCAGGGTAGGCTACCCTATAATTTACCATAGAAGGGTTAGGATAATCATATTCCAACTTTCTGGCTTTTACTTTATCGTGTCTGTGAAATGCCGGGCTAGGAGTTTACCTGTAGGCTCATGCCCTACCCCTTTCTTAGGATACCTAGTATTTATGGTTAGGATCCGCTGTATAGAAACAAGCAGATCGCCTAAAAGGGGTGGGGTATAAGCCTACAGGTAGAGTGTCGGGCTTTGGATGTATGATGTAGAATGTCGGATTTTAGGCTTGGGCCTGTGTTGACATGCAGGCTGCGGGGCGTCTTAACTCTCATCCCTGCCAGACTGAACCCGACATGCTCAGTTTGAACCCTAAAATCTAAACCCTTCATATACGGGCCTAAAACAAAACCTATACTATTTTGGGGATTCCTTTAAAGGGGTTTATAACGGTTGCCATCAGAAATCTATAAGGGTACTATGATATACGGGACTAAATAATGACCTATACTATTTTGGGGTTCCTTACTCTAGCTATTATGGTATAACGGGCCCCAAAGCCCTATTCCAATTATTAAGGCCTGTATAGTATTCCATCTTCTCAACGAACCCCAATCCCTGCAGAACTCTAGACACCTATGCTTGGGGAACATCAGCGCCTCAAAGTAACGGTCCACTGCTCGCTGGGTATCAGCATCCTCGGAAACCTCGCATTGCACCTGGGATGCAAAACCATTAGCGCCATCAGGGCTTAAGCCGCTTCTGCTTTAATTACTATCGGGTTCGAGAGTTCCAGTTGCATTGTGTCCTGTTTTGCGGTGCTTACCCTAAACCCCAAAACCCCTAAACCCTCAAGCGCCCAAAACCCTGAAACCCTAGACCCTAAACCCCTAAACCCTAAAACCCCTAAACCATCAACCCCAAACCGCTAAGGTTCCTGAAGGTTTTCAAAGCCGTCATCAGCGCATGCGCTAGCGACCTGACGCGCCGCAGTCCGCCGAGCTCTGTGTTCTTCGGGCCGCAGCTCGGTGTTTAGGGTTTAGGGGGAACTCCAGAAAGTTGGAATATGGTCTCAGGGTAGGATACCCTATAATTTACCATAAAGGGTTTAGGATAATCATATTCCAACTTTCTGGCTTTTACTATAAGGGGTTTGGGAGGGTTTGGAGGGTTTCGGGTTTTAGGGTTTGAGGGTTAGGGAGTTTAGGGTTTAGGGGGTTTAGGGGGGGGGGGGGGGGGGGTGGGTTTAGGGTTTAGGGGCTTTGGGGGGTTTGGGAGGGTTTGGGTTTAGGGTTTAGGGTTGGGAGGGTTTGGGTTTAAGGTTTAGGGTTTGGCGGGTGTAGGAGGTTTAGGGCGGTTTGGGTTTGGAGTTTAGGGGGTTTAGGGCCGAGTATAGGGTTTAGGGGGAGTGAGGTGTTGGGATTTACGGTTAGCTTAGGGTTTTTAGGGTTAGGCGGGCTGAAGGAGTTTAGGGCCAAGTTTAGGTTTTATGGCTTTGGCAATCACCGTGGTGGTCCCAAGCTTTGGGCGCATGTGCATCCGAAGTCAAGAGGTGGTGCCATTGAGCAATGATCCACCGGACAAAGCATCTCCGTCTTTGAGCCAGTCAGTAACTTTATTGTGTTAGGCATTTAACAAGCATACCACTGAGCAAGCCAGCAAAAACTGTACCAACAAAAACCTAAACCCTGTCCGAACCCCTTAACCAAAACACTACACCCCACCCTAAACTAAAAAACCTGAACCAACGAAAACCTAAGCCCTATAACCCCTAAACACAAAACCTTAAAACCCAAACCCTCCTTGCTCCGATTCCGCATAGTTGAAAACCGGCCAAGACACTCCGGGCTCGTCGGGAGTGCTGGGATCCTGGGCAAGCGTGTGAGAGCTTCTGCAAGCTTGGGATTTGTCGTAGATGCTAAGGGTTGAGGGACCCTATATTCTGAACCCTAAGTCAGCCTAAACCCTAAACCCTAAACCCTATTAGGGTTGAGGGGTTTAGGGCTCGATTCGGGTTTCGGGGTTTAGGTGCTGCCGGAAGTCTAAGGATCCTATGCGGGATTTAGGGTTGTGGCTAGGGCTTGGGTTGATAACGTCCCCGTCTTGTTTATGGGACTTGGGGATTTCGGGGCTTGAGAATCCTAGCGCGTCTGGACATGTCTTGTGTTTCTACTGTGGGAATCGACTACCTTGTAAAGCTTAGGGTTTAGGGTTTATAAGTGTTTAGGATTTTGCTTGCAAACCTGTACTTATGGAGGGTTTCAGGCGGCCTGAACGCTTGGTGCACTCACACCTGTTATGCAACTGCCAGCGAAAATTCAGAGCCGGTCTTGATCAATTACCTTCGAGTGTCGTGGGTCGAGCTTCCTGGCCCTGGTATGATTTGGGAGTTTCCGAAAATAGAGGGCCATAATATGGGACCCTAAATAGTGGGATCCTTATTATAAGGACCCCAAAATAAGGTACCCCTCATTTTCGGAAACGCCCATTTAGGGCTTTAGGGCTGCATGCCTCTTTTTGCCATGTTCGGGTCTATCATCTTGGGTTCGGGCCTTCTTTGGCCCTGTTACTTGGAAGGGCAGGGGACTTAGTAAGTAGGTTATAAGTAGAGTTATCAGTACCCTAAATGGAGTTACCCCAATTATAACCCTAGTTATAACCTACTTACTAGGTCCCCTGCCCCTCCAAGTGGGGTTTAGGGATGCAGGGTTGCTTTAGCCTTCCCCGTACGTAAAGGAGCGGATTGCTGTGTTATGAGTGTTGGCTTTAGGGTTTAACCTTGAGCTCGGAATCTACAGCCCAAGAGTTCATGCCAAACAACCTAAGCTTTTAAAACCCTAAACACCCTAAACCCTAAACCCCCTAAATCCAAAACTAAGGCCTTCGACCTGCAGATCCAAAGAAGGAACTCTTTTGCCCTAAGTGCGCGGAAAAAGGGAAAGATGTACCCTTCATCAGTGAAGGTCTTATTGCGGAAGTTTTGCTTATCTGATACCTTAGAATCTGCGCCCACTCTGTAATAGTGACTATAAGGATTATATATGATTATATTAGGGCCCTATTATATTCCTATTATACCACTATTACAGGATGGGGGCAGCTTCTAACTGATACCATCATTGTGGGAAGCCTCAAAGTTTGCGCTTCCCTTGCTGAAAAGTTGCATGGAGCCATCTTTGGATGACTTGTCGTACATCAGCAAGGTCTTCCTGGAAATGCTTGGCGGGATGAGTTTGCGTTCATGGGATCCAATATTCCAGGTTCACCCTATAGAGCCGCACTCTTGAACCCCACACCGTGCCAAAACCCAAAACTCCAAACCCTAAATCTTACACAATAAAACCTAAAACCTGAATGGTAAACCCTGACACCTCCCACCGAGCAAAATTCGAAGCGAGCATCGGCCCCTGACAAAATCGAGTCCAGCCTGTCACGGCACAACTAGACACCACGTCGCGCAACCCTCCTCCACAAAGAATGCAGACGTACTGCGACTATGCAAACGCATAAAGCCAGCACAGTCAGTCCAGTTCCACACAAGGAGAGTACATATGTACCCTCTCGGCACATAAACCTCATGCTGATCCTGAGCCGCAAAACCCATAAAGCACCAAGACCCTGGAAGCAACTACGCCCCAAAGCCCCCCCCCCAACCCTCAGGCTCCAAGTGTACAAGTTTTGGTGCTCTAGATTTAAAACAGGACTCGCTTTGCAATGTCAATGCCTATAACACGACCCACTTCGGGTTGCTTGAACCCCGAAAGCCCTAAACCATATACCCAAAACCCCCCTCACCCTAAATCCAGCCCCAAACCCTACCAACCCTAAAACCCGATAATCCATGGAACCCCAGCAGAATCCTTAGTAGCCTGTGAGGAAACCTATGCCCCGGACCCTATGGCCCTGAACCCTCCTGGAACCCCCAGGTGACCCTAAACGCTAAGTTTAACCCTTAACCCCCTCTATTATTTCCTTAAACCCTAAATGGAACCCCATAAGGAACAATACCAGCCGAATACTACAGTTATACTGTTGATGATATAAATCCTGCATTACCTTAAGGACCCTGAACTATGGGAATTATCGTGTATTCTATATTATGGGCAATGCAGGATTTATCATCAGCCGTAGCAACCCTACATTGGGGTTTCCGAAAATCGGGAACCCGAATATAGTACCCTAAACAATAGGATCTTTATTATAAGGACCCCAAAATACGGTACCCCTAATTTTCGGAAACTCCTAAACCCTAAACCCTTTATAGAACCCATATAGGAACCCTTAAAGGATCCCTTTAAAGGAACCCCCAAAAGATCTCCCCTGGGCAGCTCCTGAAGGGCCTCACGTGTGAAAGCGGAGCCGGTGTCCGCCGCGACAATCCTCAGCAGACTTTAGGATCTATGAGGGTTCCCTTATGGGTTCCCCTAAACCCTAAACCCTAGACCCTAAACCCCTAAACCCTAAACCCTAAACCCTAAACCGTTCCCATAGAGGATCTAAAAGGTAGGCTATTCCGGGTAGGGCTTACAGGGTTTAAGCCTTCGGGCTTCTGGGGCTTAGGAGCTTGCAGAATTATAGGATCTATGAGGGTTCCTTTAAGGGTTCCTAGAAGGGATCTGTGAGGGTTCCTTCAGGGCTCCTATAGGGGATCTATGAGGGTACCTTTAAGGGCTCCTAGAAGGGATCTATAAGGGTTCCTTTAAGGGTTCCTATAGGGGATCTATAGGGCTTCAAGGGGTTTAAGATTTGCTGCTTCTGGGTTTTAGGGTTCAGGCTTATGTAGGATTTGCTGCTTATGGGCTTTAGGGTTTAGGCTTATGTAGGATTTGCTGCTTATGGGTTTTAGAGTTTAAGCTTATGTAGGGCTTATGGCTTATGGGTTTCAGGGTTTAGGCTTATGTAGGGCTTATGGCTTATGGGCTTTAGGGGTTTAGGCTTGTGTAGGATTTGCTGCTTATGGGTTTTAGAGTTTAAGCTTATGTAGGGCTTATGGCTTATGGGTTTCAGGGTTTAGGCTTATGTAGGGATTATGGCTTACGGGCTTTAGGGTTTAGGCTTATGTAGGATTTGCTGCTTATGGGATTTCTATAATGGTTTACATTTCTTAGGGTACGCCTCATTTTGCATGTGATGTTCAGGTTCTAGAAGGCTTAGCTTCATGAAGTCTTGGTAGCTATGTTCATTGATACGGGGTTGAGGGCTTAAGACTTAGGATTTGCGCCCTCTGCGATTTTCTGTAGCAGGTCGAGTCCTGCAAACCTCATTTACAGCCATTAGTCCGGCTCTAGAAACAGCTGCAGATGGTTTGCCTGCCTGGCTTTTTGATTTTTCTTGTCCTTTGGGGCATCTCGCTGATGTCACGGGAAGTATATCTTCGGACGATGTGTGATGCCTACAATACTACCAGGACAGAGAAGCCGAGTCATTTCTGAATAGAAAAGTAACCTGATCCCGGCACTCAACACCGAACACAGGAGCTGAAGTTCACGTCCCCCCAGCCCTGAGCTCTACACCCAAACCCTACGCCCCAATCCCAAATCCTCACTTAGCCCCATTTGCAACTTTGGTGCTTCAGAACGGGTGGCCACAACGGCCCGTACCTGTGCTGGCATTTTCGTGCGGTACTCAGAAACCCTTACATACGGCCCTAAGTAGTTGGAATAGGGCTTGTTACCAAGAGGATCCACAAATTAAGTTCTGAAAACCATAGTAGGGAAGGTCTTTTGGGATCTTATTCCATAATGATAGTATAGATGCACCCTGCCTCTTACAGATGTTTATACGGCTTCTACAGTCGATGTTTTGAATCTCGTTTTCGCATGATTAGGGACTGTATTATTTGATTAGAGCATAGGCTTGTGGGGTATATCCTACCATACTTACATTGGGACAACATGGGAACATTATTGCAGGAGCACCCCGGCATCATTTCGGCACCAAATAATGCAAATCATTCAAAGGATACCTAAATAGCTCAGGACTTCTTGAAATGCTGCCGGGACATTGTGCCTTGTGGGTTTGGGGTCTGGGATACATACACAAAGAGCCCACTAGACATATCAAGCCCCATATTGTCGATGGTGGTCTGTGTGTCTGTGTGTTATCTACGGCTTTAGAGTTTCGAGTGGCGGCTTTTTTTTGTGGGACAGGGTTTATGAAATCGGGTTTAGGGTGGTATACTGTTTGGGCTATGGCAGCTTCAGGATTTGCCAGGTTCAGAGCCTAAATATAACTACTGTATCCCAAGACCCGATAAACCCGAAGCCTTACGCCTGTATCCCCAACTTCGTGGGGGTGCCGAAGTCAGGTTTTATCAGTCCCTATGAAATATTTAGGGTTCAGGGCTTACGGCCCATGAACCCTAAACATCCCTAAACCACCAAACACTTAACTTCTACTGCCATAACTCGAATGCACAGCGAACGGAGCTGTGCAGCACGGTCTATCGCTGTTTAAAATGCCTAGAGCCACGAGTAGTCCAAGGTGTAGGTATATTACGTTCAAGCGCAACTTGCCGCTGCAATCATTCCTCCCCCCTCTGCACGGAGCAAGCAAGCGCCGAGCGTCCACCCCGGCGAGGAAGAAAACTTCGAAAGTACCAAACCCTAAACCCTATACCCTAAATCCCAAATCCTAACCCTAAACCCTAAACCCTAAATCCCAAATCCTAACCCTAAACCCTAAACCCTAAATCCCAAATCCTAACCCTAAACCCTAAACCCTAAATCCCAAATCCTCACCCCAAACCGTAAACCCTAAACCCTATACCCTTTTACACCTCGCAGGACTCCTAACTTTGTAAATCTTCCGATGTTCCGAGTAGTCAAGTCAGACATAAGCCAAACAACGTAGAAGGTTAAGGTAAAAGCCAGAAAGTTGGAATATGATTATCCTAAACCCTTTATGGTAAATTATAAGGTATCCTACCATGAAACCATATTCCAACTTTCTGGAGTTCCCTGTATCGAGTCCGTCAGCCTAAACCCGAACAATCCAGCTGTTTTCAAACGTGAACTGACAGTCCTAAGCTCGAACCCCAAGAAAACCCTCAGCCCTCAACCCTAAATCCGTCAGCCTGAACCTCGCAGGGCAAAGCCTCAACCTTGAACCCTTAAACCTGAACTTTCAACGTCGCTGCCTCTCCTCGTCGAGGATCGATTGTATTCCCTGGCAGGAGCCCAAAAAACGAGTGTGGGACGCCGTTTGGTAGATTCAGCATAGATCCCTCGAAGCCCAAAACCTGAACCCGAAACCCAGAACTGCCATGAATCGGGCCGATGTAGACCCGACGGCCCTGTACCCAGAGACTCCAACATCCCTCAAATCATATTAGGGAACCGACTATCATTTAGGGTATATTCCTTAGTTAAGGGATATGGGAGTTTCCGAAAATAGGGGACCCTACTATAGTACCCTAAACAGAAGGATCCTTATTATCAGGGCCCCAAAATAAGGTATCCCTAAGTTTCGGAAACTCCCATATTGGAGTCCCTGGGTACTTTTGCCAGGATTAGGGTTGACTTTTAGGCAGACTATCCACGACAACTGCGGGTGCCGTTGGTGAACTCCCCCCTCAGCCGCTTTCTGCTCCCGGTTCCTGGGAGCTCTTTTGCCTGAAAGTCTTGGAGGAGCAGATGTTTAGGGTTTAGGGGTCATGCATGCTGGCGTTGCTTTCTGTTTCGACCCCTTGTTGCTCGCCCAACAGTCTGAACAGTAAGCAAGGCCTCAAGGCCAGCAGAATTGGCATCGTAGGGCATAGGGTTTAGGGCTCGGGCCACATGAACATCATCAAGCCGCCAATCCCTCCCCAGCCAGACATGTAGACCTGAAACTACATGGCTCCAGTATACTATAGAGACCTTAATAATTAGAATAGGGTTTTGGCTCCATTAAATACTATACTTATGAAAAGGACCCCCCCCCCCAAAAAAAAAGCTTTGGTAATGACTTAAGCCCCTATATCCCTAAATGCCTTATAGAACCCTTGTAGTATCCCTTTAACGAGCACTTTAACAGAACCCTAAACCCTAACTATTTAAGCCCTTGCATTAATGCCATTTTGGAAGGCCTTTGCGGGCCCTGGGGGCATCCTTTTTGAACCCTCACCGGAACCCTGGAAAGACTCCTACAAGCCTGTTAAAGCAAGACAGAAAGCCCTAAAACCCAAACCCTAAAACCCCAAACCCCAAAACCCTAAAACCCCAAAACCCTAAAACTCCAAAACCCTAAAACTCCAAAACCCTAAAACCCTAAACCGAAAACCCTAAACCCTAAAACTCCAAAACCCTAAAACCCTAAACCCTAAAACTCCAAAACCCTAAAACCCTAAACCCTAAAAACCCTTAACATTCGAACCCCCCAAAATGCTTCGGGGCCTCAGCGCTCTCTGCCACATCCCGGAACAAGCGCTCAGAGGCCGTTCGCGCGGTGATGTAAGCGATGACCTAAGCGTTCTGCTTCAAACGGGTTCCACAAGGGTTCGAGAATTCGACAAGAGTCCTAAAAAGATAAATTTCTACGGTTTCTGTGAAGATTCTATAAGGGTTTCGGTTTAATTCAGGCGTAGGTACTTTGCTTGAAGCTGTAAAGCCTGGATCCCTCATATTTCCGGAACCCCTCGTAGGGGCCCTACCAAGCTAATTAGAATAGGGCTTCGGTCATATTATAACGCTTGCAATATGGAACCCTATGGAACCCTATGGACTACTTGTTCAAGCTGTTCTACAACAGCCCTGTTAGCCCCGCATAGAAACCCTTAAAGAAACCCGACTGGACAATAGAGACCCCTCATTACCACATATATATATATATACACAATAACAATAGTAGTAATACTAATGATAATAATAATAATAAGAAGAAGAAGAATATAAAGAATATACAACAATATTGCGAACAGTTCAATCCTAAATAGCCCGAGGTAGGTGCTATTTATCGGCTTTCGAACCCAAAGCGGGTACTATTTGTATACTTGGAGCACTAGTATTGGTCCTAGAAGCAGGTGCCAAGGGTTGGGCTCAGGGATCAAGCTTGCAGGTCGGGTTTTGGGCTTAGGGCACAACTGAGGGCAGAAAGGGTTTAGGGTCTAGCTAGGCAACCCAAGTACCCTCTATTCTTGCTTACACGCTCTCCGTTAAGGCCTTCAGGGTTCTGTTCAAGGGTGCAAGTTATCATGTAAAGGGTACCCTTACACCGTTGAAGAAACCCTATATAAACAACCTCATAAGGAACCCGAAAACGGTAGGTGACTTAGGGTTTAAGTGGGCCCTAAAACTTCAAGCCGCAACAGAAACCCTTAGCCCTTACAAGCCCCCAAAACTTCAACCCTGCGCACCAAAGCCTTGACGCACGATAAACACTAAGCCCCAAACTTCCACCCTAGACCCCAAACCTTAAGCCCAAAAATTGGACCAACAACTTCAACCCCTAAACCCTATTCCGCACCTTGGCCACGGGCGGAACCCGCGACAGGGCCGGCAACGAAATCGCCTTGAAGGCTGCAAATCCTAATTATAAGCGGATCGCTACCCGGACCCCAAAATGCCCTTTCATAGAGCCCTTATAGTCCGTAATGGTGGGTATCTAGGGTATGCAGTAGTAGAGGGTAGCCCCCTATATGTAATGATACTGACGATACTGACCATATAATTAGGGGCCTAAGGTTTGTGGCTAAAATACCATGTTATAGGGGCTACAAGCGATACTTTTGGCAATTATTCTGAGCTCTGTTTGTGCATTAGCATGTATGCATAAATCTATGTGTATATACATGAGTATATACATATATGTAAGTATATACATAGTACATCTCACTGCACAAATAAGCACGTACGTAAACACAAGTTACCAGTATATGAGCCGAATAAAAGTTTTTGAAGGTCATAAGTTGATGCTTACGAAAGGCCCAACTCCCCGTAAAACCTAGAAGCCTTTTTTTTAACACCCTGAAAAGTCCCTATAACATCCTGCAAAACTTTCAAGTCTGGATTGACAAAGCGATAAGCCTCCAAGGGCTTATTATAGCAGTTACTCACGCGGTCCCAGGGGAACTACATGGGGAAGCCCAAAATTTATTTTTATCTATTCTTCTACCAAGATCACCTGTGCAAACCCAAACCCTCATGGAGTTGCTCGGCAAAGGTCGCTGGATTGGAATCCGTAAACCCCTAAACCCCTCAACCCCTGAACCCCGACCCTAACCCCTAAACTAAATACCTGAACCCTAAACCCTCAAGGCCCGAAATCCCAAAACCCAAAACCCTAAACCTAAATCCCAAAACCTTGAAGGCCCTAAACCCTGAGCCCTAAGGCCTGGCTCGATAGGAACACTGCGAGAAGCTGCCGCATCGCATGCCTACGTGGCTTGAGATTGTTTGAGGTTTAGGGTTGAAGTCTGGGGTGTACATTCCAAAAGGTGCCCCTATACTTGGCCTTCCAGTTTAGGATCGTAGCAATGGTACGCAATCATGACCGCTTGGAGTGAGTGCACATGACTGGTACGTACCCGGACCAGTTTAGGCAGATTGCTCCAAGATTTGAGCGACACATCCTCCCAACATTTCCCGCTAAGTCTTAAAATTCAAAAAAAATCAGGATATAATTACAACCCTGAAGCCCTCACCCTGACACACCAGCCTTAATTCTTAAGTCTAAACCTTGAAACCACAACCATGATAAGGTTTTTTCCGGGCCGTACTGGAAAACAAACCCGATCTAAACTCGCAAACCCACAACCCTAAAGCCCCAAAAAGGAAAACGTGGGCAAGGCCAGGGCACACGGTCTCTTCGCAACGAGGTGCAAGAAGCCAGCCTCAGTTACCGGAGTTGGGAAGGATTTAAGGTACCCCCTCTTGCAGCCATGATATGACAAGTGCTTCGGGTACAGGCGGGCATAGGTTTTAAGATCATTCAGACATCAAAAACGCCATGAAAATCCCAAACCTTACCAAAATTAACTCTATAGTATGAGCCCGGAGGCGTTTCAGCAGCCGCCGCGCAGACGCCGGGGCCTCCAAGGGCAGGGCGGCGGCAACCAGGGAAGGCCTGGACAAATTGACGTATTTATCTGTAAGGGTTTACGGCTTATAGGGTTTATACGCCTTAGGGGTTTAGGGTTTAGTAGGATCGGGGGTTCAGGGTTTGGAGTTTAGAGTTTCGGGTTTATGTTCGAGTTTAGGATGCTAGGAGAGTTTTTGTATGTACGGGGCTACATGCGATCGTGCAGTAGCCTGTTTTAACCGTCGGGATAGCATTATACTATGCTTTTTGCTCAGCCCTATATATCACAAGCTCGTGGTGTCTACAAGGGTCATACATCGGTCTTGATAACCCTAGAGCCTAAACACGCAACCCTAGACCAAAAGAATTAAACGTGAACCCCAGAAACCCCCAACCTCGCAAACCTTAAACCCTGGATACGTCGTGAACTATCTCCGTATTTCTGTTTCAGTGAAACGCCCCTCGAATCAAGGACGAGGAGTTCGTTCTGTTCAGGCTTTCCGGTGATAGCAGCTGAGGCTTTTGAGGGCTTTAGTTTCTTTGCAAGGGTTCTTTCAGGGTTTTTAGAGGTGGGCAGGGTTTCAAAGGGTTTCATACGTTTAAGCGGGGCTTAGGATTCTAGTACTTGCGCTCGAGGCAGTGGAGCATGTCTTGGCTCGAAGGCTTTAGGCTTTTGGGACGTTGAGTTCGGGTCCTTTTCCAGAGGGCGTGTACAGTTAGTATACGACTCCTTTGCAGTACACACTCTGGATTCGAGAAGGAATTTTCAGCCTCAACAGCTCTGAAAGGAGCATCACCAATCTAGTATCATGTGCGGCCATAAACAAAGTTTCCTAATAGGAAACAGCATACAAATTCTTAAGGGATCTGCTTCTTCGATCCTCTCCGGGGTCTAGGTCCAGGCCTATCAGCTGATATCAAACCCTCCCGCCATAGCCTACCCAAACAGGGTTCCAATCCAAACTCAGGTTTAGGGTGTAAGTTCAGGGTCCAAGGTTGAGCTCTAAGGGACAATATCAATATCAACGACCAGGTTCCTTTACACGGGGTGGTTAAGGTAAGCTGAGCCCCGGACACGCCATCCCGCTTGAGCACCCCGAGGTTCTTGGCCGTGGAGAGGGTGAGTCTGCGCAAAGCGGCCGGAGTCGGTTTAGGGTCTAGGGTTCAGGGACCGAAATGCTAAACCACAAACCCCACACAAAGGGTCCAAGTACGATTATAGTAGGTACTACAGTCGGTAATAGGTATTTGGACCCCAAAAGTATACACTATGCTACTCCTTGGACCCTTTGGGTTACGTGGGCTTAGAACTGAAAGGGCTTAAGGGTTTCGGCGTTTCGGGTTACCATGTGGGAGTTTCCGAAAATAGGGGACCCTAGTATAGCAACCTAAATGATAGGCTCCCTATTAAAAGGACCCCCAAATAAGGTACCCCCCAATTTTCGGAAACTCCTAAACCCTAAACCCTTTATAGAACCCTTATAGGATCCCTTTAAGGAGCCCTTTAAGGATCCCTTTAAAGGCACCCCCAATTTTCGGAAACTCCCATGTTGAGGTCCCCCTGGCTCAGGCTCAGGCCCCTGCAGCCCAAAACCGAAATTGGGGTTTAGGGCCTATGGTTTGGGCTTTAGGGTTTAAGGCTACTATGGTTTGGTAGGGCCTTAGGGTTTAGGGCTTAGGGTTTGGGCTTTAGGGTTTGAAATGGAAGGTCCCCACTCCCCAAACACGAAGAAACTTAACCCTCAACCCTGGGCCCTATAAAGCCTAAAGCCTAAACCCTACTAAACCCTAAACCCGAAACCCTAACACGAATACACCCTAAACCCGACCATGAACCCTAAACCCGAAACCCTACTCCCCAAACACTAGGGCCCGGAAGCCAAAAGGCTCTGTGCTTTGGCACCTCGCCTGCCAAGACCATCTTCCTTAAGAACTGAAGGCCCCCCGAAACGTGGCGGCCCTCTAACCGTATGAAGCTGAAACTATCAGGCTACATGTCGTACTTGAGTCATGAGGTTCCTTTCACAATATGTTTTAGCACAGGGCCCCAGTTTAGGGATCTGCTTTTGAGAGCCTCCTGGGGATCTGGATTCAGAAACTCCCCAAGCTCTGAAGCCCTAAAGCTGACTTAGGAACTACCGAAGCGGTAAGCCCGCAACAGGTCCCTCTATGTCAATACGCAAAAGCAGAAACACACCTGAGTGCTTTTCGCATAGTATAGGAGCTTGAACCATTGCAGTGGGTTTTCTAGTTGCTGTAGATAATCGCGCCCTGCAACTAAAGCCCTAGTTCTACAGTATGGTCATGCTATAGAACCCTGATACACCCATTATATGAGCCCTTTAAGAAACTAGGATAGGAATGACCCCATAATAAAGCCCAGTAAAGTAGGGATGTCGCTGTGAAATGCTTATGCGGCCCTATAAACCCTATGCAAGGCCCCTAAACCCTCAACCCTAAAAAAAGGCCCGAAAAAACCCTACAAACCCTAATAAGGCCCTATAAACCCTATATAAGGCCCCTAAACCCCAATAAGGCCCCTAAACCCTAAACCCTAATATAAGGCCCTATAAACCCTACAAACCCTAATAAGGCCCTATAAACCCTATATAAGGCCCCTAACGGTCCCCAAACCCTAAACCCTAAACCCTAAAACCTAAACCCTAAACCCTAAACCGCGGTAGCTGCGGATCCGTTTCGGGGCTGTGGCCCCGACGGCTCCAGGGCGCCACGGGTGTCCAGGCGCACGCGAACAAAGGGCGGATCCTCATGGAGCGATGCGTAATCCATGGATCCCTGGATCATTAGACTCTTAATACGATATGGATTCGTCCCAAGAGACCGGACACCCAGAGAGTCCATAGTGCAGGGTTTGTTGGTTTAGGGTGCTGGGCTGAGGGTTTGGGGATTTAGGGGTTTAGGGGTTTAGGGCTTAGGGGTTTAGGGTTTAGCGTTTTTTGGGGTTTAGGGGTTTGGGGTTCAGGGCTTGGGTTTGGGGCTTACGGCTTAGGGTTTAGGGCTTAGCTTTCGGGTTTAGGGCCTAATGTTTAGGTAATTGTGTTAGTCTGTGTGTGTGTGTGGACATAGATGTATATACGATATATGTTATACACGCAAAGTCTATGTAGATGTCAGCAGCTAGGTACGTCCACAGCAGAATACGGTAGTGCTCGAAGAGAACAGCAGGTCAAGCGGAGCGGGTTTCATCTGGGGCAGAACTGATAAGCGCTGAATCCTGAGATGCGGGGTCCCACTCAAAGCCGGGAGGGACATGGCACCACGAACCCCCCTAAACCTCGGATCCACCCTAGGAAGCAGCTGATGCCAAACCCTAAGCCTTATAATCCCTATACACCCCGTGGAATCTCAGTTTGAATGTCACATCTCAATGACTAAGCCAAAAACTCTCGCACTCCCCGCAATCCCCAACCCCGACCCAAGCCCTGTCCCCTGAACCCTATACCCTGGACATTAAAACAAAACCCCCAGAAGGCCTGCTGGAGCTTCAGCATCTGACACAGATCTCTGCAGCACTGATCCAGAAAATGCTCGTCCCTGACCTGCAGAAATCGAGTTAGCTTGGGGAGTGTAGATAAGTATAGTATGCTTGTACACAGACATAGGGTTAGATGTATGTGCAATTTAAATGAATAAAAAGCTTGAGGGTTTCAGGAATTCAGGGTGTGTGGATTCAAAGTGTAAGTTTTCAGAGAAACCGACCGTAGAATCTTAGGGAGCTTTTGGGTTCAAACTTGGATATGTCTCTCGACCCCCTCAGCCCTGGGTGCATTATGGTTCTGGGCTTACGGATGTATCCTGAAGACTCGTTTGTCATGCTTGAGACAGTGCGTGTCCCTCGTGTTGCTTTTAGGCTTAGAGTTTCGGGTTGTCTTAGTAGTTGTAGTTTCGTAGATTCTGGGTCTAGGCTGTCGAAGCTCGTGCAGCTCTCTCATCGGGCTCAATCCTTCTGACAGTTGCCGAATGGCAGCAGCCACTGCTTCAGCGAGGCAGAATGTACGTCGGCGAAGCTGTGCCGAAGTATCGGGGGGGGGTCCATAGGACCGCAACTAGCACCACTTTTGAAGGATGAGGATGCTTCCCTGCAACATGCCCCCTAAACCCTAAACCCTAACCTCTCAGGATTTCTGGCGCTGTTCCTGGAAGGCCTGTGTCACATAACTTTGCGAGTGCTTGCTCACTGGGCAACAATCGGCAATCCAACCGCAGTCTTGCCAGAGCCCGGAACAAGGTCACGGGCTCTCTCGGTTTTCGAAGGTCTACTTGGAAGGGCAGGGGACTGAGTAAGTAGGTTATAAGTGGAGTTATAAGTACCTATAAATGGAGTTACCCCAATTATAACCCTACTTATAACCTACTTACTAAGTCCCCTGCCCCTCCAAGTACACAAAATGCGCAACATAGTTATACCCCCCGTAAGTATAAGGGATCATATAATCTACTGTTTTGCAGGGCTTGGGGCTATCGGGAACCTTGGTACAACTACTATTTGCTTAAGAACCCCCCCCCAAAAAAAAATCCTTATGGTTGTAATATAGGGATCATTATTTTTTATTTTTGGGGGTTTCTTAAGCAAACAGTAGACAACATCCTGGCAGCTCGAAACCTTCGACTTCTTGACTTGAGAATGGGTTCTTCTTGAGGAACGTCCTAGATAGCCCGGTTTTAGGGTTTAGGGGCTTAAGGAATCCCCAAGTTCTATACTAGGGTTACTAGGGTTTACAATAAAAGCCTCCAAAATTAGGTTATGGGCTTTTGAGGTCTGCTTCGATAAGCCCAGTCGAAGGTAGGGTTGAGTCGGTCTGAATGAGCCCTTAACCCGCAACCCTGTAACCTTGCCTCAGATGGTAGCGACATCCATTTTCGCTGCTTTGGAAACCACTTCCACTTGTTGGCCTGCCAAAATGGGTTAAAGGTAACCTCCCCCTAGAACCGACCACCCTAAACCTCAAGTTGAGGACTAGGCTTGGGTTTGAATGTTTGGGCTTGAGGGCCTGGAATGTAGGGTCACGGTGTAGGGTTGACGGTTCAGGGTTGCAGCAACGTAAGTGCAGCCTCTCTCTATGAAATTGTTGTAACTGACCACGCGAAGACCGAGCCGTGAAATCCCTCGTTCTACAGGTACTTATGGCAATATGGGGTCTGAATAGATTCAGATAGGGCTTGATGGTCCAGTACAGAATACTAGCGATTCCTTCCGCCTGCATATCGCACCTTGCATCCTTCAATCCGTCCCCCATGAGCAGCGGATGAACGGGACGGAGACTATGGTCATACAATCAACAATCATTATTGCTGCTCCTATCGAACTTATTGCTATGGAATACTCAAAGTAGTGTGGCCATATCTCCTGTACTACGATACTGCTGTTGCTACTCCTCCTCCTGCTGCTAATACTTCTACTGTTATGTCTACGACTGTTCCTGCTTCTTTTTCTGCTTGTCTTCCCTAAGTCCCTGATTCTTAGGCACTCGAACCCAGTAGAAAGCCAAACCCCCATGAAGGCCAATGTTAGTTTGCCAACATTTGTGGAACTGATGCATGCAATCATCACTTGTCAATGGCTTCGATGAGTAATGAACTACCGGAGAAGGTCAAGCCTCTCTCCATGTTGGGCGTATCCGCTCTCATTCCTGCTGTTCGACCTCAGCCTCTGTAAAATCCACGAAGAATCCCCAGAACCCTACTGAGTACCTGGATAAAGGATCGACGAGTGCCGTCGACGAAAACCGGCCAGGCGGCGCCTGCAGAAGGGGCACCGGAGACTTCTATGATCTAGGGGCCTTGATAATTAGAATAGGGTTTCGGGCCCCATTTTTGTATGGTTATAATCAGGAACCCTAGGGAATAATCTCGGTAATGATTTAGGCTCCTATAGTACTCAGTACTCAGGTGCTCCAGTGTCAAGCAGGGTATGTTAAGATTGTGTTGTGGGATTCTGTTGGGGCGCTACCAGCTCTGATACATGCTGCTCATGTCATAGGGATTTGGGGTATCGCCACATATAGTTGTTACAAAAATCGAAAGACCTTGGGAGATGAGAATACGGTATAGTCAAACCTTTATGTTCTCCATGGCTTGAGGGCTTAGGGCAGCGGGCTAAACTTAAGAGCTATGGGCTAACCTTTACCCACCAAACTTAGACCCTAAACCCCCTTCGCTCTAAATCCGATAAGCCCTATACGCCCTTTCAGCCCTATAAGCCCTAAACCCTAGACCTTAAGTATACCCTAAACCCAAACCCTAAACAAAAAATCCCACCCTCAAACAGAAAAACCCACGAAACCCTACAAACCCTAAACCCTGGGTTTTTGAAGACCCCTGCACCCTAAATCCTAAACCCTATATAAACCCTAAATTAAACACAACCTCCCAACCCTCAAACACGAAAACCAGCCTTCGCGATCCGCCAGGAGTGCCTCGACCGCTTCTGGTGTGACGTCCTCGGGCTTTGGAGGCTTCGCAGCTCCATTCAGGGTTTAGGGATGCTTAGGGGTTTAGGTTTTGAGTTTAGGGTTTATATGGTTTGGGATTTAGGGTTTCGGGTTCAGGGGTTTAGGGTCTCCAACAATCCTGTAAGGCTTTGCTGAAGCTCCTATGGGGTGTAAGTAACCCGTTCAAAGTACCCGAAGTTCGGGTATAGGATAGTAGTACTGGTAGATAATTTTATGACTCTATGCGTTTTGGCACAGGGTCTACTGCGCCTTTAAGAGTGTTGAGCATTGCTTTGGGGCTTCGCAGGATTTCGCAGAAATCTCCAAACGAACCCCCCAAAGCCATGCACGGGCTTCGAGAGGCGCCCATAGCCTCCCGAAAACCTTTTAGGGAGGCCACCACGACAGCGATCCCATCCTATCCCAAAACTGGTAGACTGGGTTGGCCTTTAAACACCATGAAAAATATTTATATATGGGGTCCCTTATAAACCCAAATAAGGAAAATAAAGCATGTCCCAAAATCCAACCTAATAGACTCTAGGACCCTATACCGCCTCACCCAACACCTTATACAGAACTGGAGCCCTCCAAGGGCTCGTGACCCAAACCCCTAAAGCCTAAATCTCCAAACCCTAGGCCCTAAGCCCCGAACCCTATAAACCCCTATGTCGCTTCTTGAGAAAGATGCCTCACGGAAGCGCACCTCCCGGCGGAATGGGCGAATTTCCTGGGTCTTAGTATCTGGGTTGCTTTGGAGGCAATACACTTAAAGGGTTGAAACAAAATGTTCAACTATCCATGATTTTTCCGGCTTTCGAGATTCGTAGAGTACGTACAGCCATTCTTTCAGGCTCCTCATGCGAAGGTTGTGGCGCGCTTTGCACATGTGTCGTATTGCACATTTTGTCTGCTCCTTCTCTATTCCCCTGAAGAAGACGATCTCGATTGGATCCTGGATCCACGGCGCAGGCCCCAGGCCCTAAACCGTAATATGGAAGACTCTCAAACCTGGGCCTCATCTTGATACTTGTCCCAAATACCACAGTTTCGAATCCCGTTTGGGATGCTGTGAGTCTTGGGGTTTACGCTAAAAGCAGATAGATGCCAAACGACTGAAGACATGCCCAAGGGGTTCCAAAGTACCGATATAGTAGAATGTAGGGTTTCTATATCAGGAATGACTATTATGATTTGGGAAGTATTCCCCATAACAGTACATAGGACCCCTTGGGATGTCCAAGGTGCGGCGAAAAGAAGGCCGTCGATCCTGCAAGGTGTGGGCAAGATCATGCCCTGACCCCGACGTAGAACCCCCAACTACCCTTTGTTACCTCTTGGGGAATTGGAGACCCCTTGAAATTAAGCTTAGAGGCGGATCAAACTTGTCGGGCTTGGAGGTTCTACTCTTCTCGGCGTGCATACTGGGTCTCAAAGCAGGACAAAGTTCTGTCAGTTGCGGGTTTAGGGTCAAGAACAGGGGAGGGTGTAGCTACGTAGCAGAATTGAGGAAGCCACACATTGGGGCCCGCATCTTGCCTTGCTTGATATCGTCGAAGAGGCAAGGCATACTAACAGTAGTAATAGTGGTTATAATAGTGATAATAATGATAACAGTTATGCTACTAGTAATGGAAATAACAAAAACAATCATCATAACAACAAACCATGTGCATGGCAGGCTGCAGTGAGTTATTATGAAACTGCTGCTGTCGGGTTTCAGCTTAGGCTGCGATTGCACTCTTAGCCTTAAATGTGCAGTTTCACAGACTTCCCCAATAAGCCGACCAAGTTTAGGCACTGGGACTTTGGGTCTTGTCGTGTCAGAAACCTACCTATATACTGCAATCGTCTGACCACCTGGACTTTAATCTCACATCCGAAACCCGAAGTAGGTTGCTGACACTTTTGGGACACCCCGTTGAAGGAAATTTTGGTAAGGATCCTGGTTCTCTTGCTTTATGAGACTCCTACATCCCAGCAATCCTAGAAAGTCACCAGCACCCCGGATGGTCCTTAAACGCAGAGCGATGTAAGGGCGGCCTTCACTAAATTCTGCTGACACGTCCTGCGCTGCGGCTGTTCTTGCAACAAGGCCAGTGGAAGACTTCACTGGCAAAGTAGGTTCCTTCCCCAAAGGTCTGAGTGTTGGACTGGTATATAGGAAAAAATGTCTGCTTGGCCAAAGGCTTCCTACCTGACTTGTGCAGAGTGTATGCATGTATGCATGTATGCATGCATGCCTGTATGTCTGTATGTCTGTATATTTATCTGTCTGTATGGCTGTCTGTATGTATGTATGTAGGTGTGCATGCATGGATGTATACGACATACACATCTAGTGTATTTGTGTTTGCTTATAGGTATAGGTGTATATGCACACACACACACACATAAACAGTCCAGTACATATGAACAATATACATACATACAGTAACCTGTGTATTCTGTATACATATACATCTACAACTGTCAATACGAAGGAAAGTGAGCAATACTATCTATCCCATGGATGTTGACCGATGGACATCTCAGACGCTGTATGATGCAAGAGCCATTCGTTCTGAAATCTGTAGCCACTTTGGTTGTGCAGGGGATGTTGAAATGAAGGAGCCGAATCTCTTTGCGCTCGGCTTGATCGCAAAGAGAAGCTCCTTTCACGCCGTGGGCAAGTGGAGCAGCCAATCTCTGGGAAGATAACTGCAACCCTCGAACCCTAAACTCGCAATTTCCGAAACCCCGTCCTCACACCAAGTTCTTCTGGAGTCGACAAAGCAGCCCTAATCCCGAATCTGCAATCGCAGCCCATGACAAAGCTCCTTTCATATATTTATGGGGACATCACAGATCAACAAAGCCACCCAATCAGGGCTTCAAGACCCTTGCCGGCAGACTAACATAAACAAAACATCTCCAGGACACCTGAAAGCAAACATGGGCCCAAAGGGTCCAAAATACCGATATAGTAGAATGCAGGGTTTCTATATTCGGAATTACTATTATGATTTGGGGAAGTATCCCCCATAACGGTACCTGGGACCCTTCGGGCGGTCAATTCACACATTTGTCCCACCCAGCGCTGTTAAGCCCTGTCAGGACCCTAAACGTTAAAACTTCCACAAGCTGACGACTCTTCTCCCAGAGCCCAACACCCCTTATTCAAGCAATATGTGTATTCTACAGTGTTTACACACGTATTCCTTAAACCAGAATCTTGTCTAGTAATTTGGTTAAGGTGTAAATCATGATCCTTCTTAGTTAGTCAATTCGGGAAGTAGCCTATTTAGGACATCTCAATGCAAGTCCTTGCCCAGCTCGTGGCCGTAGATGTAGGTGGGCGCCCCAGGGGTGACAACTTGACGCAGCACTCGCCTCGACGTTCGGGTTTAGCTGGAGAGGGGCATGCGAGAAAACAGCTTCGAAGGCTCCTGGAGGTTCATGTTCAATGACTGGCTATATGTCTTCGCGATGCTGAGTGAAGATTAAGGGTTTGGAACTTGCCGAATCTGTTTGTCAGGTTTAGGTCAACGATTCATCACATAAGCTGATAGACTCCACTCCGTTATGAAATCAACACGGGCTATAATGAGATCGTACATCAGTGCCCTTATGAGTGTTGGTTCTTCGGTCTGAGTCTGACCTTCTGACATAAAGGTGAGACTTGGGGCTGCGAGGTCTTCGGGTTTAGGGTTCAGAGCTATCGGGATTTAGTGTTTTGGGGTTTAGAATTAGAAGTCCATGCTTGAGAGGTTGCCGTACTATTCCAGGCACCTAAAACAGGACCCACACTAAGAGACCTGGCCATATCATATCTGCTTCAGGCTTGTATTGATTTACGGTTTTCATAGGTAGCTGGACGATGCTGCCTGGAAGCAACCCCCCCTTCAGACCTTCGAAAACCTTGCGCCAAGACTAGGCCCCGAAAGTTCTAAAGCCCTAAAGTCCCAAAGCCTGAACTGGACAACAAAAGGCCTCAAAATAAAATACATCCACCCTGAACACGATAAGACCCAAACACTTAAACCCTTAAGCCCTCAACCCTCAATCCGGAAATCTAGCACCAAATGCTGTAGCACCAAGGCCCCCAGCGTCGTCTTATCTTCCTGCGTCTGAACGAAGACCGCTGCGGAGAGGTCCTCGGAGTCAGTTGGGACTTTCGGGTTTATGATTTCGGGCTTAAGCGTTTCGGGTTCAAACCTTATAGTGAGCAGACTGCAAAAGTCATTGAATCAGAGTCAGCGGGGCCTTTGGTTTTATGATTTGGGGCTTGGGGTTTCGGGCTCAAGCGTTTAGGGAGCAGACTGCGACAGTCATTGACGTTTCTTGACCTGTCTCCTAGAGGGTGTTAAGGTTTGGCCTTTGGGATTAACTAATCATAAAGATGTATAAAGGAGTTGTGGCACCACTTTTCCAGTTTTCCCCCTATGCTGTAAACCGGAGTTACACCAAAAACACTTGGTGGAAGAGGGGTTCCAGTACACCATATAGTTCTTTATCACCCGGGATACGTGATATGTAGTCGTCAGACACCTGTAAATGGAAGCTGGAAGTCATAACGCAACTATATCCGAGGATGGCTCCGATCGAGACCTTGCGTTTCTTCCTCGGCATCCCCAGGCTTTCCGCTTAGGGTTCGCTCCAGCGGTCTATTGGTTTGGGTGTTCCGGAAGAGTCCGCAAAACAGGGACGTATATGGCTTACAGTAAGGGTTTGTTATAAGGGTGCTAAGGGCCTTAAGGTCTGAATCTTCGACTGGGGTTTGGGGGCATAAGTAGTTTACTAGATGTAGCGAGAATCACAGTGAAATAACAACCACAACAAGGAAACCCAAAGACTATTGTCGGCCAATATCCAGGCCCCAATAGTATCGATTTCTTCTTGTTATCTCCATCACACCACAAAATATAAAACACACAAACACGCGCGCACACAGCTGCCTTCATCCTCCACACCAGAGTGGCAATGCCTTGTGATTTTCGTGCTCGTCCCTATACCATCTTCATCGTCGCCATGATCACACTTATGGCCGCCATGACCATCGCTGCAACGCCCCAGACAAGTACTGTACCCCAAACCTTGCAACAAAAACGATCATGAACCCTACTACGATACCTTATCAAAAAAACCCTGTGATTCCTGAACCGTCCGTGTCTGTAGCCGAGGATCAGCCCGGGTGAGGTAGTCCAAAGTCTGCTGCAGGTTGGCAGCGTTCACGGGGAAGCCCGCCCGAGCTTTCCTGCCAGCTAAGATCTACAAGGGGATGGAATTACTTTGGAAGGCAAAGCTTGCATGGTAGGGAGCTTGTCCAGAAAAGGAGTTGCTTTTGCCACGGTCTTTTTGCTCTTCGCCGTCAGAAAGCTCCGGATCTAATCATCTACAGTTCTTATTGTTTCATCAGTCATCAGTGCGAGACTCAGCAGCCGCGGCCTCCCTTCTCGGCGACAGAGGCCTCATGACAGAGTGGATCCGAAGATGCCGAAACGGATCCTTCTGAGCTGGGATCCCGAGCGACTCTCCATAAGGGTATATGGGTTATTGGCGTTAGGCTTTATAGGGCTTTATAGGGTATAGTGTCATAAACATACACACCAACCGGAAAGTGTGTAGAAGCCCAAACTGCACCTGAGCAATCCTCAATCTTGGTCGAGCACTAAACCCCACTGCAGGTCGGCTGCCGCCATAGTCTGTAGGACTTTACGAGCAAGGGCTTTATCTTACAACTGCTCATGGCTTCAGACTCACGAACCTAGCGCTGCTCGGGCGCCTGGCGGCTGACGCGTCCTCCGCCTTCTTGGCCTCGGCCCTCTGGCGCCGCTCCGCCAGGTAGGCCATGGCGAAGGCGACCATCATGACGATGCAGATCCCCTCAGCTTCGCTGAAGCTGCCATGAAACCCTCATAATTAAAGCACGAGGAAGGGTCGAAGGAAGGAAGGAAATGAGGAAGAGGGAACGGCGGTGGGTATCCCAAAACCACACGGCAGCCGGGCGACTCCCGCAATCGCGCAGATCAGGAAGACCAGGAGGCGCTGCGTCAGGGCGGACTTCGCCCAGTGCAAGTCGTTGGCCTCGGCTTCAGAAGCTGAAGACAGCAGCACTTTTAACTCCACAGACCCGGAGAAAGCTCTCCCAAGGAGTGCAAGCAAGTAGCAATGAGGCAAGTGGTCATGCCAGTGATGGTCAAACTCACGATCAGAAGCCCGATCTCTGCACGGTTCCAGTCATCTGCCTCACTCGATCAGAAAGGAAAGACGGGAACGCATGCACAGAGGACCCACGTGCAGACTTGCAATGCTGCACCAAGGAAAATGAATTTATTTGGGCCATGCCGCCTGGTACGGCCAGAAGTATAGATGCGCCACCAGGGACGCGATCAGAACCAAAGTCACTGCTTCCATCTGAAGTGCCTTCAGAGCTCCCCGCTTCCCAAAGACGGCACAGATCCCTCCATCCATGGAATCCAAACTCGACTGATCGTCGGATCGTACAAATGCGTATACAAACGCACATAAAATGCATGCATTGTATTGCATTGCATATATATATATATATATATGTATATGGTACCCCCCCCCCCGAAAGACCAAGGTTTCTATATGAGCTTTAGATGGTACCCCCCCCCCCCCCAAAGACCAAGGTTTCTATATGAGCTTTAGATACAAGCCTACTTACACTAGCCGATAGTCGTTGGTCTTTGGGGGGGCAGGGTGCCAATAACAACCCTGTTAAGGTGTAGGGACAAACATGCGTGACACAACCCCCTTGTGGTTTTCATACTAGCCTGCATACAATAATCCCTATGCCATTTCCTGTCGCACATTCCAGGAGGCCTATTGAATTCAATAGGCCCTATTGAATTCAATAGGCCTTCTGGATTGAAGGTTGAAGATTGAAGATGCCCTCAACAAGTTTCCGGGGAGATCTTCAATCTTCAATCCGGGAGGCCTATTGAGTTCAATAGGCCCTATTGAATTCAATAGGCCCTCTGGATTGAAGATTGAAGATTGAAGATGCCCTCAAAAAGTTTCCGGGGAGATCTTCAATCTTCAATCTTCAATCCGGGAGGCCTATTGAGTTCAATATGCCCTATTGAACTCAATAGGGTGTATCTTGAAATCGATCATGAGGACCGTACGTGGAAGTGTGAAAATTGGGTTCAGGGGTCAAAGTCTACCGCTGCGTTTGCGTACTTTGGAGTACACGCATATGGTTTTTAAGGGCTATGAAGAGAAAGTCATCAACTAGACGTATGATACTACCTTTAAGCTTCCCTAAACGTATTCTTTTGATTTACGCCCAGCTTAATATCAGATAACACTACTAGTTTTATGCAACAAATGCAGTTGGAATACTAAGAATATAATCGAGGGCTCAATCTATCGAACTGTATACTACTGAGGTATCAAAAGCACATACTTTAACGTCCATGTAGCTAGCAATCTATGCATGAATGTATACGTTCGATTCAATTATTGGAAAGACTACTAAATGCACCGTATTATTATAATACTTAGAACTGATTTGACATAAGTAAATAAACACTCCGCCTAAATAGGTCCGAGGATCTGGCCTATCCAGCTGTTTGCGTACTTGTGAAAATAATATTCTACAGATATATACTAAGCTACATCTTCATATAAGTATATTGTTGTCCCTACAGGCACTACTGTGAAAGTATTGCTTTCTGAGATCTAATCGGCAGACAACAAACCCTCTATGCTGTTCATATATGTAAATCTGACGATTGTTAGCTCAGCAAGCCCTATGCTTGAATTGATCCGAGGATTCAATTCAATTCAATATACCCAATCATTTAATTACCAACATACAGAATAAGCATGTTTCTGCAGTGAGTAATCCGTATAACTTATGTCATTATCCCTGGGTGTAGTGATATCATATGAAGCAATATAAATACAGTTTTCTGTCTGTTCGTGTTAGCTGGCAAGGCACTTCATGAATAGCTTAGTTGTAGAGAGATTTCTTCAGGCTGTTTGGCTCCTATTCACTACTATATGCTACTATTAAGCAGCTATCTGTGTAAATCGCAACAAGGAATCTCAAGCCATATTATTATTAGCAGTTAACAGACCCTGTAAATTCGATTGTATAACCAATTGCTGAGTACTTAACCTTATTTTTCCAAGAATGAAATGGTGCATGCTAAATGCTAACACCGAGGTCTTATACTTAATAGGCATGTTTAAACTATAAGACTATATGCTTGATATCTCAAACATATAGCCTAAGAATACATGTCTTTGTAGGGCCACATCTGTAGTAATTAACAAACCCTGGAAGTTCAATTCTATATTCAGCTGGCAAATAGTTAACCTTTTCTTTTCGCATACAATAAATGGTACACACTAAACGATGGCATCGAGGTACTATGCTTGGCAGGTGTTTTTAAACGTTACAAGTAGCTTGATTTCTTAAAACCAATAGTATAAGAATAAATGTGTTTGTGGGGTTGACCACATACTACAACTGAAGCTAATAAAGCACACGGCATGGGGCGAGTTTTCCATACGAAGTAAGCCGTCAACAGAATATGGCACTTGAATGGAAAACGTTTTGGTCGTGATCGCGCTTAGAACGGCTCTAGGCGAGAAAACAAAAAACAATACCAACAAAAAACAAACAACAATACCACCGGACCAAACACAAAAAAAACTACAAAAAACAAACATTATTTCAGTACTCTTCCAGAATAGCATTAGAATTCTATATTAATGGGAGCACCCACCAATGTTCTTATCTGAAAACCTTGGTCTTTGGGGGGGGGGGTAGCATATATATATATATATATATATATATATATATATTGTATTGCATACTGCATTGCATATTGTCTTGTATGTTGTATTGTACGTGTCATGTTGTATCTTGGATTGTCCAGTGCACTGTCTAGTGTCTATTGCTTTTTAGATTTAGTGTCTATATAGAATTATATTGTATATGGTTTAGTATCGTAGTAAGGCAACGCTTTTTTGGGGTGCCTACAGGGCTGCTGTATGCTGCTGTGCAATCGAGGCCGCGGGTGACAAGGTGACAGGCAGGACGGTGGCGACCAGCGCCAAGAGCACCTGTAGGGGTTGCTTCAAGCATTCCTTTAAGGGTGCTAAGAGGTTCTAGACGGCCTTAGGTTTCGGAATCTTCAAGCAACGAAAAGCTGCTTTCAGGTCATAATGATGATTCTGTGATGTGATTGTAGAATTTGGCTTCGCTTCTTTATGACCTTGACCCACATAAAACCTGCAAGTGCTCTTGAGCCGTCCAGGAAACCCTAGACCAACTGAGACCAGTATGACACGAGCTGCACGAATCGTCACAGGTCCGGCTACCAGTAGCACTGCTGCAGGATGTCAGTATATCCAGCCCGAACCCCCCCCCCCCCCCCCCGCTGCCCCGCCCCGAGCAGGCCTTACGCATCAGCCGCTCCACCTGGCGGTCAGTGCAGCTTATGGGCCTACATCTGAAACCCAGTAGGAAACCTAAACCGCAACACACACACACACACAGAACCCCAGAGCAGTAAAGCCCTGAAACTTCAAGGCCCAAAGCCCTAACGGCAATTCGCCAAGGCCCCGCCTCCCAAATGGCGCACTCCGGTCGGTATGCCTGGATCAGATAGGCCACGTGCGGCCGCGTCTCCTTCGGCGATCGCGTTCTGACCTGCAGCGGGTTGGGGCTTGAGGGTTCAGCAGGGTTTGATAGAGGTTTAATAGGGCTCAGGATATTGCAGTTTGGACTGTTCGTCGGCTCTGTTGTCGAAAGGCGGCTGAATGTGCATCTCGGGCGACCAGCGGCGACCAAGGCACGGCATAGATCCAGCTGCACACGCTCAGGGCCGAGAAGCCAACGATGGCACCCAGCACTGCTGCGATCCGAAGCGGAACATGGGAACTCATCTGCGGCCCCGGGGGAAGGAAGTCCAAATGCAGCGCCTGAAGCGTGGGATCTTTTCACTCAGCCGGAATCCCAAAGCCTAAACTTAAACCCTATCTAGACTGCCCATATAGACCCTCTAAGCCCTGCACATGAACCCTAATAAAACCGAAACGACGGCCCCAGCGCGAAGGGCAGGCAGGCATGCAGAGGGCCTCGTTCTCCGATTCGGGCCGGAGCCGGAAGGCCACGAGGTACCTCGGCAATGCGGTGTGATCCCATATGAACCCAAATAAGCTGAACCCTACAAAACTAATACAGACCAAAAACCCCAAAACCCTAAACCAGGCCGTGCAAAAGCGAACCGAGGAGCTTCCCAAATCCGGCGATGAAGGCTGGCAGGAAGACGTTGCTTCCAACCACGGCCGCAAGCCAGCCGCCCTTGATCACGGCCAGGCCTGCCTGAGAGTTTTAGGGCTTGTAGGGTTGATATTTAGAGGATGTATAAATGGTTAATCATAGGTCTTATAGAGTCGCGTGAAAGAAGCGCTTACGTTCGAAGAAGCTTGGTGTGGCCCTGGTCCAGGAACGACCGACTGAAAGCATTTGATACCCTGCACTCAATGCAGCTCAGGATGCCACAAGCAACGCTGGCCAGAGGGACATCAGCATGTGCACGTGGTGGATGCTGCTGTCCACGTTAAGCAGCTGAAGCAGACACTGGCCTGACATGCTGCTGCTGCCGGCATCGCTGGAGCCTTGCCCTTGTGCGACGGATGCCGGCACTGTCAACATCTGCAGAACCACCTGCGATGCCGAGTTTTGCGAGGCTAGGAGAATGTGGAAAAAGAACGGCGCGTTTGACGGGAGGTATGGGTTGAAAGGGAATGTAAGGTTGCGAACATGGGAACAGGGGGGTCCTGTGCTGCATGGTCGAGATCGTTCTTGAAGGTGCCCGTTTGCATGGCGCCGGACCTCGGGAGCTCAGCGAAGCTCAGCACAAAGCCTTCGCAGAGCCCGATGGCAAACTCCCATCAACTACCATGTCATACTGTGTGTGGGTTCTTCTCATAAAGCCTCGATATAGAATCTATAGAGACCCTACACTCAGGCTTTCACAAGCACCACTTTCGTTCCGAGGCGCATGGTCACACCGGCCACAGCGGCGAAGGACATTGCCTGATTCAGCAGCGTGGCACTGGTGGCCCTCTTGCCCCCGCTGCCCTCCACCTTAGGGCAGAACTCGAGCTAAGTCGACGGCAGCAAATGCGGCTCAGGACTTTCCCTTACACCCCAAGGCCACGGCGCTTACCACCGCCGAGGCGAAGAGGGCCAGGTTCTTCAAGAGGAAGAAGCTGACATACCACACCACCTTGAAAATCGCACTTCCCACCCCGGCCGTTTTCTGCCTAGTTCCTCTGCTTCTTACCGGCCTGCTTTGGTGAGGTGGTCCAGTTGGCGCAGGGGACGCACGACAGAATGTCCGCATCTGCTCGTGCGTGGCCTTCAGTGCAGATCGTGCACCTCGACACGGCTTTCAGCGTCTCAAAGGAACCCGGCCTTCCCGCTCCCACCTTCGATTCTTTCTCTCGTTATTTCTTTCCTTCTGTCTGTCTTTAGTTCCACCTTTTGCTGTTTCAATTCCATGCCTCCTCCCTCCTCCTTCCTCCCTGTGCCCACCTCCATCCCGCCTCCATTCAAGCCCTTTTGCCCTCCCTCCCTCCTGGTCCCTGCCCCCCCCCCCCTCGCTCAGCCTCCCTCCCTGACTGATGAAATCCCGCTCCGACAGCACTGCTACCGTTTTGTGGGTGAAGGTTCAACGACAAAAACCAGCTCTATACTGGGTCCCTGACAAAAATTTCGATGTAAGTTGCCGCAACACGGAAACCACATAACTTTACTGTAGTCGATAACTCAAAGTACTTCCGTAAACAAAAACCAGTGGGTGGTCGGCCATCTATCGCGCGAGATTGCCATTGGCGGGCCAAATGAAGTAAGACAGCATTTGTGACCACCATCGGCTCTCTTTCTTTCTTTCGGTATTTATTTCTGTCTTTCTTTCTTTCTTTCGGTATTTATTTCTGTCTTTCTTTCTGTCTTGCTTTTATTTCTGCAGGCTTCAGGGACTGTCTCTTCTTTTCTCTCTGACTCTCTCTCTCCCTCCTTCCGTGCCCGCAAATTTGCGCCAAGGGTCCCAGGGCCACCATAGCCCTCTTGGCACATGGGAACCAGCTCCTGCCAAGCACGCACCTTGACACCGGGCCCTCATGTAGTCCCGATGTCTGCCATGATTGCGTGATGTTCTTGCGACGGCTACGGTGGCAGTCATCCGAAACAGTTAAACATCGCCGTGCTTGAAGCTGCATGACTAAGCCAAGCCAATCACAGCTAGTCCCACGTCTCCAGCCTTGGAGTTTCAGATCCCCCAAGAGGCCCTCAAACCGCCTGAGATCCATCCACCTCCAACCCCGTCCTGTGCACGCTCGCCGGGGACGCTGCTGGCATTGAAGTGGCCGCCGCGGCAGGCCTGAGCAAATCGCGGCTCTTGCAACACTATGTCGCCGGCCAAGCAAACCTCTTCAACGGTCCTCTGACATACAAGTTCAAGTGCAAGGGGCCATCTCATTGGGGCACCGATACCAGGCGGAGAGATTAGAGGCCACGTCGCGATCGAAGTCCACCTCTGCGTGAGCCGGGGCATCGCACCAAACAACAGCTAAAGGCTGAGCCGAAGGATCCGAGCTGCAGCCCGAGGCCCGGACCATGTAGCCGGGCGGCAGAAGCATCTCCGTAGATGTGCAGAAAATGGTGATATTTTCCATCGTGGGACAGGGTGTGCAGCTGGCATTCTGGTCCTGCTGTCACTACAATGCAGGCAAGAACCCGTGGGCTGGGATGCGAATGGAAATGCGGCAGTGAGAAGCGGAAGGGGAAACTCCCACAGCAACCGGTTTGGACCGTAAGGTTGTGGTGCAAACTCTGATTATGCTAAGCGGGGGGACACCAGCAGAGCAAGAAAGTAGCACAAACACATGCAAAACGCGAGGTGGCTGTCCAGGCTTCGCTGATCTTCCGCGCAGCTGTGTCCCATGCTCGGTTTTGACGACATCATAACCTACTTCTTGTAGGTTCTTATGACGGGATTCATAGAGCCCCTAAAGAAACAGGCAGGTTCTGGTAGTGAAGGTACCGCCCATGTGAGTTGATGGACTTCCGACTTCGAGCTCTGGGATTTCAGTGGAAGAATTCGGATAAGTTGGTTCCCATATTTCAGGTACGAGCGTTCTATAAGTCGCGCTGCTTCGCAGCGCTGCTGAAAGCAGACAAACGGCCGCCTCTCGCGATGCTATTCCGTGACTCTATATTAGACTGGCTCCCCGAACCCAGGACCGAACCGAGCCTTGTCGAATGCAACGAGGCGGACCTCATTTGTTGGACATTCGCGGCACGCCGCACCATCGTCGTCTGCCAAGGTGTGGAGGCTCTCTCCGCGATGACACAGGAGCTGAGCCAGCTGCATCCGCGAGACAACCAATGCGCAGCCGGGCTCTTGGCGGCAGTCCACTGTGCCAAGCGTGACGGTCGCGTTAGCTCCGGCGGCAACAGTCGAAGATGCCGGGGGGAGACTTGAGCTGGATTGAAGCGTCAGGCTTCCGATGCTTGCCGAGCCAGATTCGAGCTGCAGGAACCCTGAAGTCGGGGCATTGCAGCGGCTGCAATTGATCTGCTGCGCCACCAGTTTTCTTTGGGCGTAGATGGCCCCACCCGTACCTTTGGCGTCACAGTCCCTGAGAAGGAGCGGGGCAGTGAACTCGGCCCCATCTTTGATGTAAAAGCAGCCACCGCTGCTCATGGCGGAGCAGGTGGACACTTGAAGTTGTTGGGCCTCTTCGCATGCAACCCTCCCTAAGAAATCCGATCAGAACGTTACGAGGCGAAACAAAGGATTGCAAAGCGAGGCTTCCAGCCTTGTTGGTGATCCAGTCTGCGAAGACACCTCCACCTTTATCCGCTTGGGAGTCGCGGATTGTCAGCATGGCCGTATCCTCGATCGTGATGTTGCCACTCAACATGCCACCTCGCCGCGGCAGGGACCCATGGACATGCCAGCTCCACCGTCAAGTCATTTGAATCACGAATTGATGCGACTGTCTCTGGCCTCTTGCAAAAACTTACTGCTTCCCTTCCGAACAGCATCTCAAAGCACCTTCAAAGCGTCCGCACTCCCACACCCAGCCCGGTGCCTCCTTCGTGCTTGGCTGTGCAGCCCTGAAGGCTCACGGTGCCGTTGGACTGCTCGAAAGAGCCGTATGTGTAGATGCAGCCTCCGGAGCCGGTGTGGACTGGCGCTGAGGAACCAGCACTCTCTCGAAAGTCCCCGAAGTATCGAAAGCGAATGCGGTGCCACAGTAGCAGCTTGACCAATTTGTTTTCGCCTTTAAGACACCAGCAAGATGCCACATAGTTTAATCATGCTTTGTTTTGACTGTTTTCCAGCGAATGCAGAAGGCTGGAGGGTTCAGCCTGTGACGGCTCAGGACACAACCGCCAGCCACGAGTCTGAATGATGAACTTCAGTCGACTCTCGCGGCTTCAGCGAGAGTCCCATGAACAAGGCACACCACTACCCAACACGCAAGAGTCTTCACACCACGGTTTTCTCAAGTCGAACAGCGAACGGCTGCAGGTCTTTCAATGATGATTAGGGAGGCAATCTTGTGGGAGTCATGGTGACCGGGCTGGCCGTGATGTACTTCGTCAACATATCCCGTAGCACCACTCGACCTACTGGGCTGCTGTGCCCCAACAACCCTTAGCACAAAGAAAACTGAACAAGAAAAACCCTCCGCCCAAGACTGCAGAGCCCATGACGCTCCGTGTACCACTTTTTGGGCATCACTCGTCCAGGACCTGGAGAGCCCACCCACTCCCCCTGCCTCCACTTTCAGCCGTAGACTCCCTGATGGTCACGTTGCCACCAGAGACAATCATGTCGTTCATTGCATAGATGGCGCCTGCGCGCGGCAGCGTTGCTCAACCGCTGCTTCCACACACCTGCTTCTTACACCCGAATCCGAAGCAGCTGCCAACAGATGCAAAACGGAGAGGCTACTGTGTCATATCAGGCCTGTCGAGATGCGTGCAGCAAACAGGATCCTAACCGTCCCAACCTGAAGCCCTAATAACCCGAAACCAGCACTTCCGGGGCCGGGTATGGGCCTGCCTCCCCTCGACAAACCGGTCGCCACTCTCGAGTGTCACGGACCGAGCAGACTTGCGAATTATGTCATCCGCACCTCCGCGCTCATCCGTTTGATGCTCCCGCGTCCCCAACAAGCGGACGGACAAAAACAACAGAACATGGGCCACATGTCCAAATACAAGTTAGCGCTACGACGAATCAAACTTGTTTGAGCACTGAGGCGATGTCATTGTCAATGTCCCCTTTTGTCGGAAACAAGATCAGAATTTGCTCGACGCGCTCTTATCGCCTGCCAGGGGGCATATTCTTGTATAAGAGCTGCCCATGCTTGAACAACGAAGCCCAGTTAAAAGCGATTCTTGTGCGAGTGGAGATGCCGCAGGCATGTGAGCATCTGAATATTAATGAGGCGGCGATGAAATTTGATGAAGCATCATTAAAGCTCTTTGGCGATCAACGCCCGGCAACTCCGCGAAACCGCCGGTTTCCTGGAACCACACATCGGATGAACTTCTTCAGAGCAGCACTACTAGTAGCAAACACAGTAGTCAAACGTAGTTGCAAGCGAATCGGTCAAGGCTTGAAGCATCGACCGCATCTTTCATGCGACCGACATGATCTCAAACAGTCGGTTGTCCAGGCGAGAAAGCCGGTAATGATATGCAAGCTGACCTTCTTCCTTGCAGAATCACATTCCTCCAATACCCCTAACCTTGCTCAACAATGCTGTAGCTGCTACGCTAAGTCGGCTCGGGCTAAAAGACGCACTCGCGGGAATACCAGGTAAACATTGGTTTCAAACGCATGACTTGCTGATACTTGCTGTGTTACTGCAGGGCCAGCATCTGCCTGCAAACCTCTCAAGGATTGAACTCGAAGAACCCTCCACGCAGTCTTGCAGAGACCACGACGCTCTGCGTGCCATTTCTTCAGGGATCCCTCGTCCCATGTTGCATGACCAAGAAAGTGACCCGCTCCCCCTGCCTCCAGACCCACGATAACGCGAGGACGCCGTAGACTCCCTGATGGTCACGTTGCCACCAGAGACAATCATGTCGTTCAATGCATAGATGGCGCCTGCGCACGGCAGCGTTGCTCAACCGCTGCTTCCACACACCTGCTTCTTACACCCGAATCCGAAGCAGCTGCCAACAGATGCAAAACGGAGAGGCTACTGTGTCATATCAGGCCTGTCGAGATGCGTGCAGCAAACAGGATCCTAACCGTCCCAACCTGAAGCCCAAATAACCCGAAACCAGCACTTCCGGGGCCGGGTATGGGCCTGCCTCCCCTCGACAAACCGGTCGCCACTCTCGAGTGTCACGGACCGAGCAGACTTGCAATTATGTCATCCGCACCTCCGCGGTCATCCGTTTGATGCTCCCGCGTCCCCAACAAGCGGACGGACAAAAACAACAGAACATGGGCCACATGTCCAAATACAAGTTAGCCAATCTACAACGAATCGAACTTGTTTGAGCACTGAGGCGATGTCATGATCAATGTCCCGTTTTGTCGGAAACAGGATCGTGTCGCCTGCCAGTGGGTGGGCATATTTTTGTAACAGTTGCCCATGCTTGAACAGCGAAGCCCAGTTAAAAGCGATTCTTGTGCGAGTGGAGATGCCACAAGCCTGTGAGCATCTGAATAAATGAGGTGGCGATGAAATTTATTGAAGCATCAAGCATGCAAGCGAATCGGTCAAGGCTTGAAGCATCGACCGGATCTTTCATGCGACCGACATGATCTCTCTGTCGGCTGTCCAGGCGAGAATGAGAAAGCTGGTAATGATACGCAAGCTGACCTTCTTTCTTGCAAAATCAGTCCTCGACACCAACATTTCTGCCATCCTAACCTTGCTCACTTTGCAACAATGCTGTAGCTGCTACGCTAAGTCGGCTCGGGCTAGAAGACGCACTTGCGGGAAGACCAGGTTTCAAATGCATGACTTGCTGCGTCACTGCAGCCACTGCAGGGGCAGCATATGCCTGCAGACCATTCAAGGATTGAACTCGAAGAACCCTCCGCGCCGTCTTGCAGAGACCACGACGCGCTGTGTGCCACTTCTTCGGGGATCTCTCGTCCCATGTTGCATGACCAAGAAAGTGACCCGCTCCCCCTGCCTCCATTCGTGAAAGCCCTGGACTCCTCGATGGTCACGTTGCCATCGGAGACAATCATGTCGTTGTTTGCGCAGATGGCACCTGCGCGCGTGGCAGCGTCGCTCAACCACTGCCTCCACATACCTATGCCCGAATCCGAAGCAGCTGTCAACAGATGCAAAACGGAGAGGCTACCGTGTCGTATCAGGCCTGGCGAGATGCGTGCAGCAAACAGGATCCTGACCGTCCCAACCTGACTAAACCCGAAATATCCCCACCTCCGCAGTCATCCGCTTGATGCTCCCGTGTCCCCAACAAGCGGACGGACAAAAACAACAGAACGTGGGCCACATCTTTAAATATCCAATGAGGCGGCAATGCAACTTGATGAAGCTTCATTAAAGCTCTTTGGCGATCAACGCCCGGCAACTGCGCGAAACCGCAGGTTTCCAGGAACCACACATCGGATGGACTTCTTCAGAGCAGCACTAGCAAACATAGTAATCAAATTGTAGAAGCACCAGCAGCTGGGAGCTTGCAGAGGCGTTCATGCCCAGAATTTGCGCGCATACTGTTGATAGTTTTATACCCGCACCAGCGTTCTAAACTCAACCAACGTAGTTGCAAGCGAATCGGTCAAGGCTTGAAGCATCGACCGCATCTTTCATGCGACCGACATGATCTCAAACTGTCGGTTGTCCAGGCGAGAAAGCCGGTAATGATATGCAAGGTGACCTTCTTCCTTGCAGAATCAGCCCTCGACACCAACATTCCTCCAAGGCCCCTAACCTTGCTCAACAATGCTGTAGCTGCTACGCTAAGTCGGCTTGGGGTAAAGGACGCACTCGCAGGAAGACCAGGTAAACATTGGTTCGCATGACTTGCTGATACTTGCTGTGTTACTGCAGGGCCAGCATCTGCCTGCAAACCTCTCAAGGATTGAACTCGAAGAACCCTCCACGCAGTCTTGCAGAGACCACGACGCTCTGCGTGCCATTTCTTCAGGGATCCCTCGTCCCATGTTGCATGACCAAGAAAGTGACCCGTTCCCCCTGCCTGCACTCGCACGGGTCGAAGACTCTCTGATGGTCACGTTGCCACCGGAGACGACGACATTGTTTCTTGCCCAGATGGCACCTGCGCGCGTGGCAGCGTCGCTCAACCACTGCCTCCACATACCTATGCCCGAATCCGAAGCAGCTGTCAACAGATGCAAAACGGAGAGGCTACCGTGTCGTATCAGGCCTGGCGAGATGCGTGCAGCAAACAGGATCCTGACCGTCCCAACCTGACTAAACCCGAAATATCCCCACCTCCGCAGTCATCCGCTTGATGCTCCCGTGTCCCCAACAAGCGGACGGACAAAAACAACAGAACGTGGGCCACATCTTTAAATATCCAATGAGGCGGCAATGCAACTTGATGAAGCTTCATTAAAGCTCTTTGGCGATCAACGCCCGGCAACTGCACGAAACCGCAGGTTTCCAGGAACCACACATCGGATGGACTTCTTCAGAGCAGCACTAGCAAACATAGTAATCAAATTGTAGAAGCACCAGCAGCTGGGAGCTTGCAGAGGCGTTCATGCCCAGAATTTGCGCGCGTACTGGTTGATAGTTTTATACCCGCACCAGCGTTCTAAACTCAACCAACGTGGTTGCAAAGGAAACAGTCAAGCCTTGAAGCATGGATTGAATCTTTGCTGTGACCGACATGATTTCAAACTGTCGGCTGTCCAGGCGAGAAAGCCGGTAATGATGTGCAAGTTGACCTTCTTCCCTTGCAGAAACAGCCCTCGACATCCACATTTCTACCAAGGCCCCGAAGCTTGCTCAACAATGCTGTAGCTGCTACGCTAAGACGGGTCGGGCTAAAGGACGCACTTGCGGGAAGACCGGGTCTACATTGGTTTCAAGCGCATGACCTGCTAATACTTGCTGTGTTACAATGAAAATACTGTATAAGAACCCACTGTTTAAGAACCTGAGCCCCTACCCAGGCGGAATTCACCAGATTCAAGTTGCTTCAATATTACGAACCTTAGGGTGCCCTAGTTGTTTGGGTCAAGTTCTTAATTTGTTGGGTGCTTTCCCTCACCAAGGAAATTTAGAATCGATAGCTAAATTTCCCAACCCTCCACATCAAGAAACCCGCTGCCCGAACATAATAAACGCATCATGGCTTAATGGCGACAGGAATGCCACAGCGCAGTGGTTGTGCATATAGGTTCTGGAGACACGAAGCTGCTGTTTCGAACCTTCCTGGTATCATACTCCGGGAGTTTAGAATTGAAACTAAATTTTCCAAACCTCCAGCATCCTGCCTGTGCTCCCCTGACTCCAAGGCACCACAGGAAATTTAGAATTGAAAACTAAATTTTCCCCCTGACGGCTACTACTACGACTGTACTGCAAATGTGTGCACTGCGACAGTAGCGTGTGTATACTGTACTTTGATACTGCTAATGCTATGCGGCTTATGATGTTGACGCTGCCCGCACCGCGTATTCCACCGAGACCAAGCCGTTTCCCGTCCCGACCAATCCGTGGAAATATAGAATTGAAAAATAAATTTTCCACACCAGCCTCCTCCTGGCCCTGTGGTTCCTGGCCCAAGGCTCCGATCCACACCCACGGCACCAGGAAATTTAGAATCCAAAAGTAAATTTCCAGCCCTTCCTCCCGACCTCCAAAAACCCCTCGCCCGCAAGGTAAGGACACTGACCAGCTCCAGGACAGCACTCCATAGCGCAGCGGTTCCGCGCGCACACCTATGCGCGAAAGCCTTTGTTTCAATCCCCACTGGTGTCATGCGGCTGCGGTCTGCTTGCGCGCACCGCGTATTCCACCAAAACGGGGCCCTTTGCAACCAAACCGTGGAAATTTAGAATTGAAAAATAAATTCTCCACACCAGCCTCCTCCCGGCCCTGTGGTCCTTGGCCCAAGCCACACCTCCGGCAGCAGGAAATTTAGGATCCAAAAGTAAATTTTCTGGAGGCTCTCACCCTCCCCTCTCTCTTTTTCTGAGGCCCCTGGTCATGCCCTCCGCCCCGAGTCCTTTCGACGAGCTGTGAAACTTTTGCATTGAAACTTAAACTTTCCAGACCCCATGGCCCACCGCCCCCCCACAAGGAAATTTAGAATCCGAAAGTAAATTTCTTGAGAGCCCTCAGTCAAGGTATCAATCGCGGATAAGAACGTGGTTAAGAACCGGCAGAATCACATGTAATGGAAATTAAGAACCTTAGGGTAGGCTACTCTCGCCAAACGGGGTTCTTATACAGGGTTTTCACTGTACTGCAGGAGCAGCATCTGCCTGCAAACCTCTCAAGCCATGAACTCGAAGAACCCTCCGCGCAGTCTCGCAGAGACCACGGCGCTCTGCGTGCCACTACTTCGGGGATCCCTGGTCCCATGTTGCATGACCAAGCAAGAAAGTGACCCGCTCCCCGCCTGCCTCCTTCGATAGCAGCCGTAGACTCCCTGATGGTCACGTCGCCACCGGAGACGTTCATGCTCTTTGCATAGATGGCACCTGCGCGCGTGGCAGCGTCGCTCAACCACTGCCTCCACACACCTTTCCCCGGCATCCGAAGCAGCTGTCAACAGATGCAAAACGGAGAGGCTACTGTGTCGTATCAGGCCTGGCGAGATGCGTGCAGCAAACAGGATCCTAACCGTCCCAACCTGACTAAACCCGAAATAGCCCCACCTCCGCAGTCATCCGCTTGATGCTCCCGTGTCCCCAACAAGCGGACGGACAAAAACAACAGAACGTGGGCCACATCTTTAAATATCCAATGAGGCGGCAATGCAATTTGATGAAGCTTCATTAAAGCTCTTTGGCGATCAACGCCCGGCAACTCCGCGAAACCGCAGGTTTCCAGGAACCACACATCGGATGGACTTCTTCAGAGCAGCACTAGCAAACATAGCAATCAAATTGTAGAAGCACCAGCAGCTGGGAGCTTGCAGAGGCGTCCACGCCCAGAATTTGCGCGCGTACTGTTGATAGTTTTATACCCGCACCAGCGTTCTAAACTCAACCAACGTAGTTGCAAAGGAATCGGTCAAGGCTTGAAGCATCGACCGGATCTTTCATGCGACCGACATGATCTCAAACTGTCGGCTGTCCAGGCGAGAAAGCTGATAATGATATGCAAGCTGACCTTCTTCCTTGCAGACTCAGCCCTCGACACCAACATTTCTACCAAGGTGCTGTAGCTGCTACGCTAAGTCGGGTCGGGCTAAAAGACGCACTCGCGCGAAGACCAGGTAAACATTGGTTTCAACCGCATTGTTACAGGGCAGCATCGGCCTGCAAACCTCTCAAGACTAGAACTCGAAGAACCCTCCGCGCAGTCTTGCAGAGACCACGACGCGCTACGTGCCACTTCTTCGGGGATCCCTCGTCCGATTTTGCATGACGGAGAAAGTGACCCGCTCCCCCGCCTCCTGCCCCACGGCGAGCCGTAGACTCCCTGATGGTCACGTTGCCGCCGGAGACGAGCATGTCGTTGAATGCATAGATAGAACCTGCACGCGTGGGAGCGTCGCTCAACCGCCGCCTCCACACACCTGCTACTTAATATAACTAGTTGTCCGAATCCGAAGCAGCTGACAACAGATGCACAACGGACAGGCTACTGTATCGTGTCAGGCCTATCGAGACTCTTGCAGACAGACAGAATCCTGAGCCTTCTCCCTAAACCGGAAACCCTGAACCCATACAAACCCCTTTAAACCCTATAAACCTGTGCAAAACCCTATAAGCCTTAAACCCTAAACCCGAAACCGGCACTTCCCGAGCCGGGCCAGTGCCTGCTCCCCCCTATAACCCGCCCGCCACGCAGACCGAACAGACTTGCGATATTTTGTGGGCTGTCCGCACCTCCACATTCATCCGCTTGATGCTCCAGTGTCCCCAACAAGGCGACGACAAATACAAATGTGGTCGAACATGTGCAAATACAGGTTAGCCAAGCTAAAACGAATCAAGTTTGAGCACTAAGGCCAAGTCATGGCCAACATCCCTTTTGCCGGAAACAAGATCAGATTCCGCTTGGCACGTTCTTCTTCGCCAGCCAGTTGGCCTATTCTTCTAGCAGTTGCCCATGCTTGAGCAACGATTCCCGGTTAAGCGTGATTCTTGTGTGCATGGAGATGGCGCAAGCATGTGAGCAACTGAATACATGCTGCAGGGAGTGATGAGTCATCATTCAAGATCTGTGGCGATCAACCCCCGCCGACTCGGCGGAATCGCAGATTTCCTGGAACCACACATTGTAAACACTCCTTCAGTCGCCAGAGCAGCATTAGCACAGCAAACACAATGATTAGTCAAACTGAAAAAGCACCAACAGCTGCGAACTACTACAAAGCTTTCACGACCAGGCTTTTTGTGCATACTGTTTGACAATGTTTGATACTTTGAATATTCCTGCACCATCTTCTACACTTGACCAACGCATTTGCAAGGTTATCGGGGCAACATGGCCACACGAAGCCACGCGGCTTGAAGCGTCGACCGGATCTTTCATGCGACCGACATGATCTCAAACTGTCGGCTGTCGAGGCGAGAAAGCCGGTAATGATATGCAAACTGACCTTGATATTCAAGATAACTTTCTGCCTTGATTCCAGAATCAGCAGTGGGCCAGCACGGAGTCACAGCTTACTTTGCACTCAGCCCAGAATCAGCTATCGATGCCAACATTTCTGCCAAGGCCTGTTTTCTGTCATCCCAATCTTTCAAGTCGTGAACCCGCAAAAAGATGCACTAGCGGGAAGACCGAGCAAACTTTGTTTTTGAAAGCATGACTTCCTGCATCACTGTCGAGGCAGCATCTGCCTGCAAACCTCCCAAGCCTTGAACTCGAAGAACCCTCACTTAAGCCCACGATCCTCTTTGTGCAAGTTTTTAAGGGGACCCCTCGTCATAGATGGAGCCTGCCTGTGTGGCAGCGTCGCTCAACCACTGCTTCCATAGGCCTTATCAAGCTTTATGTTGGCTATAGCCCCCCCGCCTCCATTGCATGCTTTGCAACTTTCTGCGTCAACAAGCGCATTCCGACTTCGCAGCGTGCCTGCAATGCCAGCTTCGCATAAGCAGAATGCGTTTGAGAGCCTACCCGTGCAAAGACGGCGCCTTTCTCGGACACAGCAGCAACTGCCAGAATCCGGCCTCTGACATAGATGCCGCCTCCGTCCCCATCTTCTCGTGGATCTTCTGCTTCACATTCCCGCAGAAACAACTGGCCGCCCAGCAGATCGGCATCGCCGTCCACGTGGAGGCAGCCTCCGCGGCCTGCTTTCCCGTCAGCTTTGTTCTTGCAGCCCTGAAGGCTGAGGCGAGCTTCTGGGTGCAACGTGAGGTTGCCATCGACAACGATGCACGGACCGTTCATCTCGCCGTCGCCAGCGGCCTTTACGCTCAGCTGCCCTGTGAAGACCGCATTGCCCTGGAAGCGCACGGTTGCCCAGAGGAGAAGCTCGGCGCCTCGACAGCAGGGCGGGCCACAGGCTGGACTCGGGTTCTCGTTCCCGCTCTCTCAGGCTCCTGCTCCCATTCACCCGACACGAAGGCTCCTCCACCAAAACCACCTCCTCCCTCTTCACCTGTCCGTGGAGCTGGGGCTTCGTGTTTTCCGGTGGAGGTCCAAACTACAGAATCGCTCACGAAGCAGCCGGGCCTTCCAGCAGGCTGGGACGTGACACGCCGAATCGATAATGTTTCTTAGGGTTCCTTCGAAGGGCTCTGAGACTCTAGAAGGGCTATGGTTGCTTTTTGTTATGGGTATGTTGATAAGGGAGCTTGTCATGTGGAGTCCCGTTGCCCCCTTCATTTGCGATGAACTCGGTTGCGGCAATACGTAGCATTGGGTTGCATAGAGAAAACGAAGAAGCGGCGACCGTGCGGCAGGAGCAACAGCACACCGCATGGGCCTCGTAAACTCCATTGAGCTGGAGGATGCCGTCCGAACACTTTGGAAGGACAACCTGGACTGGGAGCTTCAACCCTAAACCCTATAAAGCCTAATACACCCTTTAAGGCCAAAGCCATCATAAACCTAACACCCTCATTAAAGCCTATAATCAACTGCAAAGACCCTAAACCTGAACTTGGAGTTTCTGTCACCTCAAGGCCTCGGACCTTCGGGAATCTTTAAAGCTTTGCTTCTGGGGCCCACCTGTTACAGTTCTCGCAGACCTCGTCTTGTGCATGATGTCGTTCCCCCCGTGTTGCACCATATGCCGACCAACACCCTGCATCCCGGATGTAGGCATTCCGCAAACTCCAGCACAGGTTTCGGGCTTGGCGAGGCCTGAGGACTCGGCAGGTGCCTGGACGTCCGTTGAGGGGCCGGAGCTTTCCTGCATAACGGCACAAGACAAGGGGCGTGCGGGCCAGGTGCGGCACAGTAAAATATGACCGGTCACTCGAGGAGTCCTGTACTCCATGAGCAGCAATCGGTGCTTTGGTTTGCTTCTCTTGCTGCTCTGAGTCCCTGGCTTCGATTTCGTCATCTGGGTCCGGAAGAAAGAAGGAGTCGTACGCATGATCTTCTTTTGGCGTCTCCTGCACAGCAGCAGCGCGCACAACACAGGCGAGGGGCAGTGCGAGCGAAGGGTGCGCCAGGGAAGGCATCTTAAACAGCACAGTAACACGTCATACGTGTATTAACTGGTTCTATTTTCAAGGAGTCCTATGAGCAGCAAGCGGTGCTTTGGTTTTCTTTTCTTGCTGCTCTGAGTCCCTGGCTTCGATTTCGTCATCTGGATCCGGAAGAAAGAAGGAGTCGTACGCATGATCTTCTTTTGGCGTCTCCTGCACGGCAGCGTGCACGACATAGGCGAGAGGCAGTGCGAGCGAAGGGTGCGCCAGGGAGGGCATCTTAAACAGCACAGTAACACGTCATACGTGTATTAACTGGTTCTATTTTCAAGGAGTCCTGTACTCCTTCAGCAGTCAGCAGTGCTTTGCTTCGCTTCTCCTGCTGCTCAGACTCCCTGGCTCTGTGACCTCGGGCCCATCAGCGAAGAGTTGCGATGCAAGATGCGGGGAGAGGGGCGCCTGAAAGCCTCGGCCCCTTGCGTCGAGTCAGGAAGCTGTCGGCTTCGCGCAGCAGTCGCTGGTCTGCAATGCCTCCAGGAGGGGCGCATGCAGTAAGGCAAGCGGACGCGCACGCACACAAAGGAGGCACCGCTGAGCCCCTGGCGTTCAGCTGACAGGATGTAAGAGAAGACGGCGGCGCAGAAGAGCCAGCACACGGCCATGTGGCCGGTCTGACCAGTTTTCACAGACTACACGTACACATAAATGCACAGTCCGGGGCAAAAGCATCAGAGCCCCGGCGAGCTGCGGACCGCAAGAAGACACGCTGAGAGGGTTCGGCCGCAAGTGCCGGCCGTCACAGAGTTGCCTATATTGACATGGAAAGAAAAAAGCCCTCAAGAATAGTAATTTGTAATGAACTATATATCAGCATTCTGTATTTATCTTCTGTATAATGACAGTCCAGACCAACACTGATGAGCGTAAAGCCGCTTTCAAGGCTCATGGGTGCAGTTGTAAGGCCAACCTGGCAACAAATCCCAAATAAAGTAGCGCCCACGCTCACTATGGTGCAGACCCAGGCTTGCATGTGTCGAAACAGCTCAATTGCCGTAACAAGGTGATCACATGTGGCGGTTGTTGACGCTTTGCTCCGAAGTGGAGCACTTCCGGCACCCCTAAACCCTAAACCTAGCCCCTGAGTTCCGAAGCTCAGGAGAGCTATGCCCGTAATATATCGACCCGACAAGGTTTAGAGTTCAGAGTTTGGGGAAGCCATGCGCAGAGTTTCCGGGTTTCGGGTTCCTACATCCAAAATAAAGCCTCGGATGAGTTGAGGTCGCTCCTGGCCATCGGGTTCAGGCCACACCACTGCACCAACATGACGGCGTCAACGCCTCAGCTTTTGACCAAGAAGGGTTTAGGGTGTAGGGTTTGTCACTTCCTGTATCCGGGGAGACCCACAATGCACACCATATTTTTGATCGCAAGTCCAGGGTCTGAATATAAAAATTGAACTTCTTCCTTATTTTATAGTAATTTACCAAAGCCCTATTGCAAGTACTAAGGCCTGTAAGCCGGTGATCCGGTGATGGAGTTCGTCCGCCTACGACTGCCACTTACCCAAAACCCCAAATCCCAAACCCGTACCCAACAGCCGCCAAACCCAGAATGCTGTAGTCGGGTCTCTCGCTCCCTACAGGTCCATGTGCCTTATAGTAAATACGTAGGCCTGAAACGGGCTCCCAGAACATGACTTGCGGGCCAAAGCATATACCATAGGGGTCATGTAGGAGCCCCAACAAGAAGAACGGGGTTCCTTCGCGTTCCTATAATGCACACCAAGAGCCAAAACCCTATTGTAACAAAAAGGCCCCTCAGATTCCATGCGACAGGGTTCCTTGCCGCTCCTTAACCATATAATAAAACATGCCCACCAAACCCTAAACCATGAACCCTAAACCCATGTTGACCCTGAGGGCCTGAGGACCCTCATTGAAAGGCGAGGTGCCCCAAGCTTCGAAGAAGTCGCCCACCTGAGGATCAGGTAGACTGTATGGTCCCGAAAGCTGCTTTAGGATGGTTGACTTGCAGTCATACCCCTATTTAAAACGTACATTGGTTAAGGTAAGCAGCGGTTCATGGTTGAGGGTTTAGCCTTCATTGTGGGATGCGCATGCTCAGTTACTTGGTCCTCTGAACATTGCAGCAGCATGCAGTCAGTCCCGCCTGCGCGGAGACTGATTCCTGAGGGTTTCTAGCGTTTAGGGATCAGCTTCTTGAGTGTCTTACACTCTTGCAAATCCCAGACTCGAGCGTCCAACAAGAGTTTGAGCTCAATGTTTCCACTATGCTTGCAGGCTTGGTACTTCTATTCGACCTACGGAGCCCCCAACCCCAAGCCATAATTAAAGACTAAACCCAAAACTCCACACCCCTAAACCCTAAAACCCTACATAAACCCCCTTAAGAAGCCTCGCAACATCAGCATCCTTTGCAGTCTCCGGATCCCCGAGGTCCCAACAAAAACCCGAAGCCGGACAAACTCGGAACCCCAAAAACAGAGCCCCCTCAGTTTCGGGTTTGGGTTCAGGCTTATTCAGGTTTCATAGGACTCATATTAGGGAGGCTCCATGGTACTTAAGGGTTCAAATTTGGGGCGCCGGCGTGAGGTTTACCAGGGTTTAGAGCAAACCTACATTTAAATCCATGACCCTAAACCATGAACCTATAATCCTAAACCCAACCCTTAACCCCAAAACCCGTCACCCATAACCGTGAACCCATTGTGACCTAAACCCATAGCCATAACCCTAAACCCTAGACCAATTACCCTAAACCCACAACCCTGAACCCGTATAAACCCAAAACCCTGAACCCTTTCACATGGGCCTGCACCAGCAAGACGAGATTGGGAGTCGCAGCCTTCCACTTCATCGCCTCTGCAAAGAGACCTGAACAGTGTGGCCGATTTCGGTTGGCAGGGACTGAAGTTTTGCTGAGGGTTCAGGGTTTAGGGTCTAGGGTTGAGGCTTTGCGGTTCAGGTTCTTGGGTTGGCGATTTAGGGTTTGGACTCACGCAAATGAATGAAATCCACAACAAGTACAATCATGTCCATTCTCGCATCCATGCTTCGCCTCACTTACATCGCCACACGTTCACATACATCCGGGCAGGTAGGAATAAACTCTCATTCTGTATACACCCACAGACATGCATGAACAATTGAACATGCACACATACACAAACATAGACATAGACAGAAACACACGTACGTACAAATATACACATCTGCATCTATTTATATATATATATATAGGTATGTTGCACATACACGCCGATACCTTTCCTGTGAAATATCCGTGCATGCATGAATTCATGCATGCATGCACACCCGTCTGGAGATCTGCAATTCATGCTCCATCTGCGCGGCCCCACATGTTCATGTTGCGACAACCACAAAATCTAGCAGGTCGACCGTTTACAACCCTAAACCCGAACCCTATTAACCCTACCTCACCACGAAATATGCTTTGCTTTGCCATGTAGCTCGGGGGTGGCCAATGTTTTGCTGCTGGTTTCGTGCACAAAAAGCGAACTAAGCGATTGAGGCTTTAGGGTATAGGGCTTATGAGGGTTTCGGCGCTTAAGGTGTATCAGGGATGAGGGCTTCAAATTTGGGAGATTCTGTTCTCGAGGACTCAAGATCCATATGATCACTGCACCGTTGGCGCTGCCCCAAAGGACAGGAAACGAACCCGGGAACCCCATCAGCGGAGCCATAATAATTGGAATATTGTGCTGTTTTTGAGGGGGGATACATGTGGTACGATAACTATATCAAGTAATCCTCAAGAAGCCTCAATTGTGTGCGTTTGTTGGCGACGTTGTTGTATATGTATATACACATACATGCGGGATGCTAACCGCAAAACTGGTGAACCCAATAAAATGAATAACACTCAAGTCTGAAGCCAGCGCCCACGACGCCGACACCATGATCCTCCACAACATCCAGGCAGTCTGGTAGTAAATCCGAGCCCAAGCTTTTGACAACCCCTCATCCCAATCCTTGAGTCTTGAATCCTGGCCTGAGGGGGTGGGGCTGGACTTGGACCTCAGCCAGCCAAACAGGTTGTCGCCACCTTGCCCAGCATGTCAAACGGTGGATGGTTTAGGGCTTGCCGTTTACGGGTCAGAGGCCGTCAAAACTAGGATAAGTTTTTGGGGTTCTATGGTGGATGTTTTGTAGGCTTCATTCAGGAGCTCCACAGATCCCGAAATGAGCTCCAGTTCAAACCATCGCCACCTGCCGCTTTCAACTTGACTTGCAAGCAATTAATGTCAGCTCAGAGAATCACCATCACCAAACCCATGCAAGGATCCCAGCAAAAACCTTTCGAAGCTCCAACGAGAACTGATGTCCGTTTTTCACCGAGTCGACACACATGAAGCGTTTGCCCAATCGAACCAAACCCACAGCGAACTGTTGACAGGAGATTTGTTCAATCGCTCAGTACGCACCTGATTCTCTAATCATCGCAGGAACCTTAAACCCGGAACCCGAACAGCACTTAAAAACGAAAAGCCTAAATCCTGAATCCCTGAGTGAAGATGCAAATACGCCTCTACAGCGCTTGTTATTGTAGATACATCCTGAACCGATACAGCCTACCGGGCCTAACTTCAACCCCAGCAGCCGAGCTGATGCACCAGGCGGAGCGCCTGCCCGAGAGAGGCTAACGGCTTCTGCCAGAAATTACAAGGGCACATGAAGGATCAACAATGTTAGGGAACCCTTAGCTTAGGGGGGTAAGGGGAGAAGGGTAAGGGACTATACTTCCTTAAATAAGCCTTAATTATTAAGTCCTCATTATGGGTATTAAGGCCCGCTATCCTCCTCCCCTCTACCCCCCCAAAAGGTCCTTATGAATCAAGGTGGGATCCGGGTCTTCTTGCGTCACAGTCACCTTGAGTTTTCGCGGCTGGGGTCAACCCACATCTGAACCCTATTGGCCCTATAACGGTAACTTACTATAGCGCCTGCATTCCGAACCGCATGTAGACCCGCTCAACTACCCACCATCAGAGCCTCAATACCCGCCGCAATGATGATGAAGGACTAGAAGAACTCTATCAACGCATACCGCGGTGGGGGTCCTGTTTACCCCTCGGCCCCAAGCCGTAACGAAGAGCCTGATGGGGCTTTGGTGTGCAATTGCTACAGTACAAGAAGTCCAACAAGCAGGAGCCCGAAGGAATACCCCTGAACACTTAACCATGGACCCTAAACCATGAACCAGAAACCCTGAACCACTCAGGCCCCAAAAGCCTAAACCCTAACCATACGACTTAAAGACTTAAGACATTTCAGCGCCTCTGCACGATCGACGCGCGCCAGCTGTTCGCGCCAATAGGGTGCCACAGCGGGGTCGAAATCGTCGACCTGCTCCGTGGATCAAAGCTATACTACACTCTACTCAACTCTACTCTACTTTACTGTATACTGCGCTACTCTACCCTAATTACTCTACATATACTATATATAGCACAGTATACTATACTATACTATATTATACTGTACTGTACTATACTGCACAGTACTAAACTGCATACACTATAATTACTAGATGCGCACATCCATACACTATGCAAATACGAAACTATGCGAACAATCCACTGTACTCTACTGTAAAGCTGGTGCCTTCACCTGCTTGATGGCTTCGCGCTCCAAGGCGCGTTCGGAGAGCCAGAAGTCCAACGCCATCCAATTCGGGCCTTTTAGGTTCTGTTCGGGTTCTTACGGGGTTGCATGGGGTGGCATAAGGGATCTAAACGGCTTCTATAAGGTCGCTGTTGAAGGGAACCAGGGTTCTTGACAGGGGAGTATAAGAGTTTTATCACAACAAAAATTAGGGCCTGTGTCGTGTCATAGGGTCATGAAATGCCTGAACTTGCGAGCCCGGAACTTCCCTCCATGGGCGGTGTAACGTCTTCGGGCGACTTTCAATTCTTGGGAGGCTGGGTCAGGGTATCCCCAGGCAGGCCCCAAAGCACCAGCACTGCGAAGGGCAAGCATGTTCCGCGAAGCTCTTGGTTGAAAACGGCCACTTAGAAGGGCTCTTGAATAGACGGCTTAATGCTCGAACTGAGTTATCAAGACTTGGTTGCGAGATTGGGGGGGCAGATTTCCGCTTTGATCGAATGTCTTCTTTGGCGAGGGTTTTACTTGCATCAAATCTTCGCGCAGCGGCTGGCAGGACGGTTTTCTCGTGAATTTAGACGAGGAGTGAGAGCAACATGAAAACTAACGGCCAGATGAAATAAATGGAAACGAACTTTCGGGTCATGTTACAGTCATTGTTTCGACACCGGGCTTCAAGACTTCGGCGAGGTGCAAGCAGTACTAACCAGCATACCGCGAACAAACGGGCATCGAGAAGCCAATACACTTAATTCTGAATGCAAGCACCCACTGTGCATATCCCCCTGTGTAAAACTAACTACAAAGCCTCTCAAACTGTACTGTTCGTAATTCCATACTTTTGGACCGATGCCGCATACGAAGATGTTCGGAAACATTAGCCAACAATCTCGGAGTCTACAGGGTAAGTCCGTATCTTTCACAACGGTCATTGTGACAGCCCTGCCTTTCTCCCAGGTCAAGATGTCGAAAACGAATTGCCCAAGGTTATATCGGGCTGAGAACTGAAAGTACGAACGGATGCTTGTCAGCAACTTCGAGAAGAGGCTGCAGCTCAGGAGCTAAATTCAATCCATTTGTCTTTCACGGAGTATCGACAAACATCCACAACAAAACCTGGTGCACACGGTCGGTCTACGTACCAACAAATCTCCCTTGTGTCATTCTCAGCATGTTACAAATGAACTTGGAACCTTGAGCGACGGCTTTGAACCGCTCCAGGCATGCAATAGAACAGATGTAAGATCATGCAGCGGCACAAGTTAAGCTAAAAGAACTTTGAAGGCTTGAACCTGAACCATCATAACCTTTTTCACTGAACATACTGTGACTTACAAGATCGGGATAACTACACGAGTCTCTGTATCCGTATTTCCTTGGATCCCCAAACATGAACGGCGGCAATGTCGACAGTTTCAATGTCTGTGCGAAGTCATGCAGCTGTGTCTGGATCCTGGGCAACAAAGAACAATAGCAAGAACCACCGAAACAGACGACTGATAAAGTTAAAATGTTCTGCTTCAGTAACCTACTTGTTTGGATGTTGTTCTTATTTTGGGGGCCGCCCTGCCCCCCGCCCCGTTCCGAAGAAAGAGAAAATGCTGCCACAGGCCGTTAACTTCACAAATTTGTGCACTGAGCTGCAAAGGCTCACCTTCACCATGCAAAATACCCAAAGCCGGAAAGTTAGATCCATTGTGCGTGCAGCCATGCCATTTTCGGAAGTTTCGGGGCGTGAAAAACGGCGGGACCCGCAATTGCTGTCCGGGCTAGGGGATGCCAATGCAGGTTGATGTTTTTCGTCCCAGCACTACGGGGCATATTGCCTAGGAGAAGGGCATCGCTGTTTTTGGAACTGAAAACGATTTTCATGCCTGTTTTTCGTTCGTTTTTGTGCTGCTCTACACCTTTGGCATTTCCTAGCCAGTGCTTGGCTGTGCGATATCCAAGGAATGGAGAGTCCGGAGTCAGTATTTTGTTGAAATAGTTTGACACCTGAACAGCCGGCGCGTTTATGGTCGGTCTAAACTATGTTGTGCATGTGCGGTGCTTGTTGTGCTTCGTTCCTGGGGGGATTCTCCACACTCACTTGCTTCTGGTCTGCAAGATTTCTTCGGCGTTGCAAGGTGGCACTCGCAAACTCAAGCGTACTTCGGCAGGCGCCCAAGCCGTTTGAAACAACATACAATCGAACGAATCAAGGACGGATGGATCCGGCCCGGGCCATCTGAAATAAGTTGCAAACGAACGAAGACGCACGCGGAGAATTCGGACGGCTCCGGCCCGGACTTAACTTAGACAAACTGAAAGACAAGCGGAAAAAAGGGGAAAGATACTTCGGATGGCCCCAGCCCAGCCCGGACCATCATAGAAAAATCGGAAACGAACGAACCAAAACGCACAAGTAGAATTCGGATGGTTCCGGCCCGGACCATCTTAGATAAACGGAAAATGAACGACAAGGCAGAAGCGGCAGAAGGAGAATTCGGATGGCTCCGGCCCCGACCATGTCAGATAGAGCAACCCTACAAAAGCTTCGAACAAAAACAGCAACCAAAAAACAGCACCACATCGAGAAGGATTTCTAGTGCACTTTAAGATGTAAATCTCTTCAACTGTTCAACAACCCGCAGCCCCAAAAGCCTCTGCCCGAAAGAAGCTGAAACCATCCACCCACAACCCACAGACTCTAAACCCGAATTCTGAAAACCCGATCGGCGTAAGCGGGTTCTGAGATTCTAAGGCCCAGGTGCAGCGACAATGTTTGGGAGGCTTGGATTGTAAAGTACTCGTGCTTAACAACTTTCAGACTTGCAGAGCGTGGTCTATGGCGAGAGCACCACAGCGCGAACGGGACGTGATCAAGGACGTCATCATGTTTGGGCCTAGGGTGTTCTCTTGTCAGAACGGGTTGGACCATGGACGTCATCAAGGTTGGGACATGGATCTTCCTTTTCAGAATGGGCTAGACCATGGACGTCATCATGTTGGGGGGTGGGAGGAGGGAAACAACCTAACCTAACACCAACCTAAACCCTAAGCCCAGCTTCCCCTGATGAGGGGACCTAAACCCAACGAGAACGACTAAGGCTGGGCCCCTAAACCCGACCTAGCCCGCTTTCCCCCAAAATTTAGGGAGCAAGGCCCTAAACCCTATGCCGGGTTTCCCCTGCAAAATTGGGGACCTCGGCGAAACCCTATGCCTAGTTGGCCCCGTCGGGGGGCCCAGGCAGGGATGTCCTAAACCCTAAACCAAACCCTGAAACGAAACCACCCCCACACGCAAACCGCAACCCTAGAAACCGGGGGGGAGGTGGAGGGGTGGGGCGGGAAGTTTGAGCCAGTCTATACACGTCTGTACAGAAACATGCCAGACAAGGCGGGAAAGCATTTTGGCCTGGGTGACATGAAAGCCGGGCTATCACCGAACACAACGTCGAAGCAGGCTGGTATTGATCCCTGCCTGTACAGTGTAATGAGTGTATGGTATTCCTGCGCATACTGCAGTTGTGCAGGGTGGGCCTGGAGACCAAAATCCTTCGGGAAAGGCCTCGCGACCAAATCCTTCAGGAAACGCCTCGGAACAGACCTTTAAGGAAGGGCGTCGCGACAACACCTGGCCCTAGATACTGTTAGCCCTTGGTACTGGGCGCCCCGCACTCCAATTACCTTTTGTCGGCATCACATGTGGCAGAATACACACTGCTGCCAGAGATGCAAAGGCGTGGAGCGGTGAGCAGCGGAGTGGACGATGCCTACTCTCAGCATTTCGAGTCCAGTCTATTCGCCAGGCGTCCAAGCATGTGATTTGACAAGTGCACTTGCAACCTCGACCCCAAAAACCCCCGAGAGTTGGAACCGTGTTGCAACTTTCCGGCGTTCACATGAAGCACAGAGGCCATCAAAGTTCTGTGAACCCATATGTGATGCGATAGCAAAAAAAATCCATGCAGCAGGCATGGATGCCTGTCCCCCAAGCAACCACAACCACTTTAGGGTGGGTTGAAGGATGGGGAGGATGCAAGCAACAGGAAGGGTCTGCAATGCTCGCGTTCAGGAGCTGTGGAGCCAAATATAATACGGCAGTCGACGCTTGTCGGGTGTCCTGTCATGGGCTTCGAGCGAAGAGGAGCTGGCGAACATGTGTGGCACCGCGGCAGCCGTGCAACTTCCCGGGCCAGGCATGGCAGAAAAAAGTTCATGGGGTCATGCGGTACTCGCGCGATCGATCATATTCGACAACTGGTTCTGCAACCATGCGCTAAGCAGCACCGTACTGGTGCAAAACCATCAGCTCTGGAGTCAAAGCAAAAGTATGGTGGTAACCGCGGCATGGGTTTCGTGTCGCGGCTACTGTCCCTGAGACAACTCATAGTATCCGCCCCCTTACCACCTGGCGTGGTGCCCTGCTCACCTACTGCTCCGGTCCAGGTCTTACAGCCCAACTCACCAGTGCTCATCTGTCGACAGAACCTACGAGTGGGAACGAAGAAAACTTCCAGCGGACCGAAGTGGAAACATTCTCAGCTTGGCACCTGAGGAAATCCGGGGACCCCGAAACTCTGCCAACAAAACGCTGTAATTTCGAACAACTTCACATAAAGTCACGGCCACGAGGCTCACACGGCCGCAAACTTAACGTGGGGAATTTTGGGCCGACCTCCCCCACTCCCCCCAAGATCTGCATGATCTAGGGCATCGGGGATACAAGCGAGGAACGACCTTGGCAATAAGTCTGCAAACTGATCACACGTGCCTGGACCCAAAGCCTTCACCCTGAACCCTGCATCCTTGAGCCTGAACCAGGAACCCTAGACCATGGAACCTGGCAACAACAGGCTCTCTTGACTTTCGACCTTGGGTTTCTATGCCAACATGCGCGGGCATGCTGCGGAGCTCTGGGTCACGCTTAAGATCTGGGATATAACCCAAATATAGGCAAGGGGCATCTGAAAGGGCCTTTGGCTACTTCCCGGTGACTGCGGAGGTCGTCATAAGCCGGGGGCCCCCAAATCCCATCTGTGAGTTCTGCATGTTGAATGTAAGCTTTGGAAACACCTCAG